TGTTCAGGTAATTTTCTGTATGTGAGAGCTGGACTCTGTCTGCAGATTCCCGTATCAAGTTTTGTCCCTTTTTGTTGCTTTGGAACACGTCTTTGATATGTGTTTCTTGGCATTTGCTGGTCTTTGAAATCAGAAAGACAAGGATGTAAAACTCCAAAAGTGTATCTTTAAGAAAGACGGTGATCCAGCCTTGATCCCCAGCACAGTCAACTGTGTAATATTGAGACATTTGCTGGTTTTAGAAGAAAACTTTCAGTCATTAAAAGCCAAGTGCACTGAGGGCAGTCTCTAGGACCAGCTATTCAGGTTCCTTCTATGGTATGACCATAGGAGCCTTCTTGCCTTTTGTGGTTGCCATGGGCTTGTGAGGCTCACTCCCCAGTACCAGCTTCAGAGGTGGAAGTTACACTTCAGAGTGCTTAGTGAAAGCTGGGACATGAAAATCGTCCTCTTCACTCCTGATAGGAAAACTGCCTGTGGCCATGTCAGTGCCAAAGCTTTGAAATAAATCTTGGGCTCTGGACATATTCTTCATGTTAAGACCATGCATTATGTTGGCTTTGTATGCAGGAGCTGAGAGTATCACCTTACCTCTCTTCTCATTTGCTAGCCACGTTGCAAGCTGTCAGATTGGTGTTACTAACAAGCTAACGTCATTTCTTGCCACCTGAGTCGATCTCCCTCCAGAGAGCATGACCACTTTCTGGTCCTGTGTCCAGTTCAGGAAGCCTTTTTTCCCCCTCTTAAGTCTTCTGCCCACCATGCAGACTCAGATTCTGATTCTTCCTGCTACTTGGATGAGAAAATGCAGTGCTGTAGGGTTATTGGGCAGAAATGCAAGCACTTGTGCTTATAGTACTTCCACTCATGTCAGCCTGTTCTGTACGTGTGTGGACCTCTGGAGCCAAAGCAGACCTTCAAATTCCTGGTGTCAGGATTCTTCCTGTGTGGCTAGGACCAGGCTGTTCAGACCATGCCTGTTCACACATTAACTGGTGGAACCAGAGAAACCACCATCCACGTGGAGAATATCAGAGTGAATTGCAAGAAGTGTAAACTGGTTCTGTGTTGCTTTCACAGTGAAGCTCTGGTAGTTGCTGGAGAAAGCCTGGGTTCATTAAGTGACTACACTGAGAAATGCCTCCTTTCCTTGATGCCAAGCTGCTGCTTGAGCTCTCATTGCAGTTTTGTGACAGAACAGTGCTTCCTGGGTTGTGCAGAGTTGGTTCAATGCTTATTAGAGTATTCCTGCAATTGCTATTTGCAGGAAGGACTTCTTTCAATCTTCATGTAAATGTGCAGGGTACGCGAATGGAGTTGATCACACTGTGAATACTTAATTCAGATAGAAGTGTTGCTAATTAGAAGTGTTCTTTGAGATTTACAGTTCATGCTTGTATCTGCTGTATGTCCACTGTCCCTTCTCTGAAAAGGACCCCCAAAGGTCATACTTTAAGCCTGTGATTGAAGGGGAACTGAAGAAATTAGTGTGTTTCACCTTACATACTCCTGCGTGAGTGAAGGTGGGATGCAGCCTTGCTCTGTGCAGATACTGCAAGGGTTGGTTTTCCTAAGGTCTTAATTGATAGACTGGATGTGCCCATAATGCACATGTGGATGACATGTTAAAAATACCTTGTCACTAGTAAATAACATCCCTTTTCTAGTCCACGATGTCAACAGACTGAGAAACCCCAAGTGTAAAGTGTTACCTGCCTTCTGGTTAGGGTGAGGGAAGGTCTATAAAACAGTTTTATCAAAATAGTAATCCTTTGTGGCAGTGGGTTCTTAATTATCTCACTAAGGTCCACTGTTGATTACAAACCTGTCTTAAAGAACTAAAGGCATTTCTTAAATGCAGGATTTGTCCTAATACGCTGGTTCCAGAAAGAGGCATTTTGTGATCAGGGAGAGGGAGAGAACATGGAAATAAAAAGAAATTATGGAAGAGGAAATGTATTTTAAAGATGTAATGCTATATGGAAGCTAGGCTGATGCTTGAGTTCTGTATCACGTTGTTCACCTGTTGAAAGATTACCAGTGCTACTGAAATTGGTGCCTACTTTTATAAGAAAGAGTACATATTGTTTGATCTTGACAGGCAATGTTGAGCACCTTTGAATATAAACATGTCAAAACATAGAGGATTACGGGTCATCTCAGTAAAGTAAAACCACCAAGGAACTTTGTGTCAATCCAAGTCCATGGAGATACTTGTGCATCTGTGCTGCCCAGAAGCATGGAAAGTTTTTGCTCTTCAGAATAAGGACAGGGCAGAACTATCTTCCTGTATGAATATATAGTTTCCATAATTTTAAACAGTATTAATAGCTGCTTTACACTATAGAAGTGTTGTATTACTCTGTTTCTAGAAAACTGGTTAATAAAGCTACTATCTCTGTCAGAGGTTGTAGCAGACTTCCAACCCCTGATCAGTTTATTCTGTTTATGGTGGAGCTCAGCAAGGGAGCAAGAGAAGCAAAGCTATCTTTTTTCCCTCTTGTATCTGACCACTGAAGCATTTATTTTAACTGGGAATAGAGGTGTCTGAATTTCCTGCTTCATCAAGAAAGTTGTTAGTCATTCAGGTGAAGCCTCCTGCTCTTTCTGGAGTGGAAGGATTCCTGTGGTTGATAGAGGATTTATGCCCCTTTGGCATGACTGCAGTGCCCTAGCATATCTCCAGTTTTGAACTGGTCCTGCAGACCACTGTTCTTAAAAGACAAACTAACAGGGAAGAGATCAACATCCTCAAACAGTCAACAGTCTTGAAAGTGATATGGTGGAGAGATCATTCATTATATTTGCAGGTTTAGGACTTTACAAGGTTGAAATAGTGACCAACATAACTGTATAGAGCTTAGGCAATATTCTGGTGGGGGGGTAGTGTTTTTGTTTTGGTTTTGGGGGTGGTTTGGTTTTTGTTTGGGGGTTTTGTTGTTTTGGGGTTTTTTTTTGTGCCTACCTGCAGACATGCTCTCATCTGGACTGAGACTGCTTGTTGTTCTAATGACTGATACTCAACAATTCTGCTTTTTTGTTGTTGTTGTTACTCGGTCTTCAAGAAATCCCTTTGGGTCAGGGCATTATATCTGTGCTGATGCAGCTGTAGTCATGTCTGTTAACTGGTAGGGTAGTAACAAAAGGAGAACTTTGGCTTGGGAAACAATTCTTTGACTGGAATGAAAACCTTGCTTCCAACAAGATTTTCTTTGGCATGGTCTCTGTATTTTTCTGCAGATTGGCTGAACTAATTGTTTCCTATTTGTGACCAAAGAACTGTTTCAAAAAAACCTGTCTGCTCTTGTGGATTTGTTCACAGAAGAAGTGGAAGACTTCATTTCAGCTGCAGGCACTGGGAGCATAAGTGGATGGGTTTCCCTCACCCTCTTTCCTTTTATTGCTCTTTTTCTTGCAAGCTCAAGACAAACAAATGTAGCAATTCCTCTTTGTTTAAGATTTACTGTATAATCATTATCAGTGGCAGAGTCCCCAGCCTCCTCCATCAAATACCAGACATTGTGTTTTCAACTTGATCTTGTGTGTTTCGTTCTCCAGGAGAAAAGCTAGCTCTTTAAAACCTGATGTGCAGGTGGCAAAGCTGAGAACAAAGCTTGCTGCTGGTGTAGTGAGAACTTTATGCCAGGGAACCTTTTGTTAACCAAAGAAAATGAGTTTTGTTGCTGTTTGTTATGTGCTCTGTTTTGTAGGCTGTGGAATTTTCTGAGAGTCCTTCTCAAAGGTCAAAAGTAGAGCAGGCTACAAATCGTGTATTCTGTCACTTAAGGGTGATTTTCCTTAAATGTAGTAAGCAGGCTTTGGTCAGCAGTTCTGTAGACAGCACCGAACTATTTCCTCTGTTACCTCCCCAGTATAATCCTGTTCTTACTATGTTCTATTTATAAGTGTTTTTAATGGCTGATTTTCCTTAGGTAGCTTGAAAGTTTGTGAGCTTTTCTGTGGTGACCTATATTTACAGTGCATAATCAAAGTGGTTCTTGGGACAGTTTTTTATTTGTCCATGGGATTAATTCAGGCTGTGAACCACAGGGATTTAAGCACTTTTTCAGTCCCATATCTGTTCCTGATAGTGGAGTCATTGCAGGCTGTGAATGTGTTTAACTTTGAAAATCAGGTTTCTACATTTGTCGTCCTTCAAAGGTCCAGGAAGGTAGTTGAAAAGCTTCTAAATCTGTGCTGAAGAAATGACGTGTTAAGGAAGCTATTTATATCTTCCGCACTGTCATGAGCTATGTCTTAGACTGAAGATCTCTTTGGGTATGCAGGCTCTGTCAGGCAAGGCTTGGACATTGGTACAGAAGTGTGTCCGTAAAGAATGGATGCTGGAAATAAAATACCACATTTTTACAAGCTGATACAACCTAGCATCATCCTGTAGTTAACTGTAGTTCACTTCAGTAGGCAGAATGCAATCCAGACTTAGGTGGCCCTTTCTGGAAGAAAACTGTATACATCTTACCTTGGAAATTTTCTCTGTGAAACGAATCAGCACTCACTTGTGAGAAGAAAGGCTAATTTAGGCTTGGAAAATCAGTTCTACCCCTTACTGTAATAGAGACAGTCATGTTTTGACTGTCTTCTCCCATTGGGACTCCTCTTTCTGTTGGGGACAAGAAACTAGGATTGAAGTGTATAAAACCTATAATACGAAAATACAGACTTGAATTCCACCTTCAAGTGTGGTAAGAGCTCTTTCCTGTTGGAATTATGATTTGTCTAATAAACATAAGATTTTGGATGGCTTGTTACTTAAACTGTTGTTTGTAAATGTGTTAATGGAGGAACCTCTCAGTACATTTTTGCTGTTCCAGGGTTAGAATAGAAGTGTTTGAGAATGCTACAGGGACTGGCATAATGATCCTTGTAGCCAGTCATAGCAGAATGCTTGGCAAATAGTCTTGTGATACTCAAATTATTATACAAGATTAAGATCAGAATTGAGACTTGCAAATGCAATGCTAAACTATCTGCTCTCTCAGTCCCAGATGCAAACCCAGGTACAGCAAGTGGGGATCGTACCGACGCAGGCAATGGCAACTGGACCAACAGCAGATCCGGAGAAACGCAAACTGATCCAGCAGCAGTTGGTTTTGCTGCTTCATGCTCACAAATGTCAGAGGCGTGAGCAAGCAAATGGAGAGGTGCGGGCCTGTGCTCTCCCACACTGTCGAACCATGAAAAATGTCCTCAACCACATGACACACTGCCAAGCTGGGAAGGCCTGTCAAGGTGAGAGCATGTTGCTGAAGCTGCTCTTGCAAATGAGCTGTGTAAGGTTTCTTGCATATTTGTCAGCAGTGTTTCTCTTCTTGTCAAGATCCCTATACCTGGCACAAATGAGTGTCAAAGCTGGTTCTTTAATTAAACAGCTGCTCCCCTTTTCATTACCTTTGCTCAGTTTCCATTTCTGATCTCTTCACAGTTGTCAGTGTAGAAAACAGAAAGCAAATATTTGCCTTTTAGAAGCAGGATTGTACCAACAGTAGCCTTGAAAGCCTCTTTTTCACCTCCTCTCTTCTATAAAGAGGGTGTAATATCCACCCATGTGTTTGCCTGCAACTCGGCCATGTAGGGTTTCTTAGATCTTAGTACTAGTTTCCTTCATTTGTTATGGCATTATTGGTGGGTTCCAAAAAAATTCAGTTGCATTTAGCTGTGTTTCGTTATCAATACAGTATTGCTTGTAAAGGAGGAAGAACAGAGTTGCTCTAAAAAATGAGATGAGTTAATTCAAAACCAGTTAGCCAAGAAGTGACCTTAATTCTATTGCTTTTTCTTGTTACAGTTGCACATTGTGCATCTTCAAGACAAATCATCTCCCACTGGAAGAATTGTACTCGGCACGACTGTCCTGTGTGCCTGCCTTTGAAAAACGCTAGTGACAAAAGAAATCAACAACGTAAGTAGTTGTTTTACAGCTGTCACAGTGGAATGATACTGTTAAAATAAAGTTAATCAAATGTGCAGTGTAGGAATAAACTTTGGCAGTGTCCCAACAAACTTAGTAGCTGTTTAATAATCTTGTATAAGGATGAATATACTAATGAATTCTCCTTTCTGATCATGAATGCAATTTATTACTTAAATACACAATAATTGAAAAGGGGAAATCTCAGATCAAGTGCACATCTGTTTTTAAAGAGTGTGGCAACTTCTAGCTGTTTTTTTTACTGTGAGGCAGGTCAATAGATTCCAGTTGTAATGCAGTTTTGGATGAAGGTAGGGTTTTGGGAAAGATATAAGCTACTTCATTATTTGTCTTGCTGCTGAAGACAAATCAACATGCTAGTGATTAAGAATAATCAAAAATGTTTGTTTTAAAAAAATATTCTTGTGCACAAAAAGATCTTGTCTGGATGTCTTAATCTTTAGGTGTATTTGATGCTGTATAGACTAGCTGAAGTTCTGCAAATCGTAGTGGTTTTGCCCATGCCTGTTTTTTATAATAGCTTAGCCGTTAGTGATGCTTGGAGCACCCAATTTCTAGTGCCTTTCTTCCCTCTTGCTCTGAAACAGAAAATACTGAACTTAGGTTGGTAGGTTTGCTTCTCATCAAATCCTTTGAACATTTTACAGCATAGGTGCAGCAATTCTAAAAGTCCAAGTAATGCTATGCCTAAGTATATTTAAATAAGGGTTAAGAAGTGGGAAATAGCTGGAGGACTTGTGAAGCTTGTACATTTGAATTGTGTTGGAAGCATTCTGCTAACTACCATTTAGGCTGAGACTGCAGTGAGGAACACTAAAAAGCCTTGGAGGATAGAGAAGAGCTGCTAGGTTAGGTGAGATTAAGGCAGAGGGGAGAGTCGCTGGTAGAGACTGTCCAAATTATCCATTGAGGATAATAATTATAATTGCAGGAGGGTGTTTTTTCCCTCCAAAACTAAAAAAAATATAAATATAAAGAAGCTACTTGGAGGTAAGGATTTTGTTTTCATTTTACCAAACTTCTCCTTGGTAAACAAGATGCATCTTGTGTGTTAAAAGTACTGATTTGGTGCAAGTGATTAGTTATGTTTGGCCTTCAAAAAATGTGTTGAAAGCTTTGCTTTTTAGTATGACATGGTCCATTTGTGCATAACATCCTTATTACACAGTTGTTATCAAAGTGCTAACAACATCTAGCACAACATAATTGTTTTTTTCTATACAAGCTGCTGTAGAAAAGTAGTTTGTGCAGTATTTGTTTTTACGTCATTCATACAACTTATCAAAAGAGAAGGCACTTGAACAAAAACAGTCCTTAAAGATAATTTTGTTAATGGGATCAAACAGGATGTTGTTTGAATGCAACAGAATTATAATGGGTAAGTGTAGAGTTTGGCTCTGTTGCTGCATGCAGGGGAAATAAATATGAAATCTCCTTACTCTGTTGAATTAATAATCCAGTGGTAGTAACCATGAAAATTTGCAGCTTAGTATGCTGAGGTGCAAGGTTCTTTGTTCTGGATTATGTCTGTAAGTCATAGACATGACACCTTGTGGTTCATTTGAAGGTAAAAGATGAACACTAAAAATACTTGTTTAGATGTATAGAACCATAGCATCATAGAATCGTTTAGGTTGGAAAAGACCTTTAAGATCATCCAGTCCAACCATTAACCTACACTACCAAGTCCACACTAAACCAATTAAGGGTAGACTAGACTAAACCATGTCCTGAAGTGCCACATCTACCCGTTTTTTGAACGCTTCCAGGGATGGTGACTCCACCACCTCTCTGGGCAGCCTGTTCCAATGCTTGACTACCCTTTCTGTGAAGAAATTTTTCCTAATATCCAACCTAAACCTCCCCTGGTGCAGCTTGAGCCCATTTCCTCTCGTCCTATTGCTAACTACTTGGGAGAAGAAGGTATTATAAAGGATACCCCTTTTTAGGCATTCAGAAATGTTTGTGAAATGATTTACATTAATATGTGCATTTGAAAACACTGTGCCTGATCAGGTGAAAACTAACCTAAGCTAGGTTAGTTTAAGACTTGAAGAAAATGTTTGCTCTCCTGGGAAGAAATAATTATAGCATCTACTAAATTGGGGGGAGGGGGGGATCTGCATATGGCAGAATATGATGAGAACATTTAGAAAGGGAAAAAGAACTGAGAAGGACAGTGACCTTCATTACTTTTGTCAGGCTGTTGTCCTTACAGAATGAATGACCACACAATGGTCATTAAAGACTTTTGAGTCCTAGACTCTTCCTTTCTGTGCTCATGCCTATTTTACCAGGTATTTCGAGTCCTCTTGTATCTGTGCTGGGCTTTCAAGTGGCTCCTTCAAAGTGTGCTGATCTTTCAGAATGTTCTGTAGTTCAGCACTTCTGAAACGTTGCAATATGGTGGCTTGCTTCCACCCTTCCGATGTGCAATGGTTCATATGCTCTTTGTAGCTGTCTATTCCTACTCTTTGGGGGATTCCTTCTGCATGCTGCAAAAAGTCCTGGATTTTAGGTTATTACCATGGAGCTGTTTCTTTACAAGTATCTTACTCCATGTTTTAGTGTTTAGAATCTTTGCAGGGAACATCTGTCTGTGCCAGGTTTCATTTGTATAGCTGTTTTTTTGTTGTTGTTAAAGTAATCTTGAACTGTCTTTTATTGTAATTGTTGAACTGTCAACATGACTTGTTAATAGGACATGTTGGGACAAGTTTGAAATTTTTTCTGTTCCACATGGATATTACCGTGTATACCATGTACATCTCTGGGAGGGTAAGGGAAAACTGAAAAAAAAAAAAAAAAAAGGATGTTATTTTGCACATGCTAAAATATTAAGCTTTCTTTTGAATAGGCCAGTGACTCCTGTGTTTTGAAGTAATGACTTGAAATTTGGTAGAAATGTTTTGGGGTTAGAGGGTTGGTTTTGCTAGGAAGTACTTCTTGCTCCCTGCTTAGCCCACCACAATTTGAGTTATAAACTCTTGCAAATAGCTGTTGATAATATTTCCTAGCTTTATAGCTCTATCGTAACTGTTGTTTTTTCTGAAGATTCATCTTGTCATGCACATGCTTGAGTTTCTTAGTTCTTCTGTTCCTGACCTGGGCAGGTGTGTATTGTGCCACTAAACAGCTGCTGGGTATGCTTCCCCTTGCAGCCCTACAGGTGGTGATAAGTGTGCTGTGCTCACCATTTATTACGACCTGGCTGATCCTCATGCAATGTTTGATGTCCTTCATTTCAGGATCAGGAGACACTAGAAAATCTTTGGGATCCCTGTTCAGTTGAGTGAGACTGGAAGGTGGAGTTGTGAACATGGAGCTAGTCTCCCCTGTATTTTTCCTTGTAGGAAAATTTTAAATAAAATGCGGTGAGGAAAAAGCTGGATTGAGAAAGAGTGAATTTGAGACAACTAATCTTCATCTAAAAATGTGATCTTAAAGAAGACTGGGCCAGAAATTCTGGAGTATGTGGACTTTGGGATGAACAGTGGAAATCTGATGAGGGAAATGGAAATAGGGACTAGGAGATAGCTGGCTGAGGTAGTAGGTTATTGAGTATGGGCAGAAAATGAAAGAAGACCTGGATTGAGAGCATTTGGGAACTAACCCTTTGTAGAGAAGGAAGGAGCACATTGGCGCGCAGGGAAATGTGTTCAGAAAGAGTAGGCAGCACCTAGAGCCTATTTCCTGTGAAAATGGGAAATTAAATCCAGTTTGCTCAAGTCTTACTGTCAGTAACTGTCTGTAAAATCTACAAACAAAATGTCTCTTGTTTTTAAGTGCTGGAAATCATACATAATGGTGACCTACCAACTATCAGTTACTGCACTGAGCCACATGATGGTTAGCCTGCAGATTAAGAAGTTCCATTTGTTGACTAATACAATGCTATACTGTGAAGGCTTTTAGTTTAATGCTTAACTTAAATAAAAATTAAAATGGCGTTGGTGGTGAAGTTTAATACTGACACTTCCTACCTTTAAGTTGCTCATAAAATCTTTACTTACCCCATAATTTGATTAATGATACAGCCTTTAATTAAACGATTGTGTACACTTACTTTTTGTATACCTGCCTAATTCTGGGTGCAGGACAGGCTTGTGCTGAGGTGAGTCAAGGTTACCAGCAGAATTTTTGCTCCAGCCACTTTGAGCTAGAATGAATGTAACGAGCAGAGCGAGGAGCTGCAGGACAGAGCATTTGAACACTGCTGATCGAGTCTCAATTCCAGAATTAGGAAGCAAAATGAAAAATTTAAATCAGACTTCTCAAAAATGGATTAACATGTTGCTTTCACTGGGGTGGTCAGGTTAGAGAAGTGCTGGGCATTCATACTTAAAATAGCATTAGGAGTCTGTGTTTAAAATAAATTCTAATCAACTGGAGGAGCGGAGGGGTTCCCCTCTAGAAGACATGAATTTCATGAAGGCAGCATTATCTACTTTGCACCCTGAAACTGGGATCCTGTAGACAAGATAGTGTTTGATCGTTTAGATTACATCCTAATGCATATGCCCAAAAGGGCCTAATCAGGGCTGTTCAGGAAGTTCTGGGGCTGCTTAGCTTTTGCTTGTTTGAACTTTCACTCTTAAGGTATATAAACACATGTGACTTTGTAACAGTGGGACATAAGGAGCCCAATTCTCTTTAAAGCATTTAGAATGTGAACAGTCCTGTACAGAGTTGCCTTTACACTTGTAGGTTCTGTTATGAGCTCATCAATGTCTTAAAGCATCAGTTAACTAAAAAAAAAAAAAAATCACAGTAGATGTTGCTTCATGTAGCAGTGGCCTAATGTGATAACTCGTGTTTGTTTCAGTGCTGAATTTACATTGACTTGATTTCCTGTGGTATCTATCACAGAAAGGACTGCATTTGCACTTGATCTGTCCAGTATGGAAATTTTAATACTTCCTTCCTCCATCTTCATTTGACAGATCGAGATAATGTCATGCATTCATATAAAACCAATGAGCAAACAGACCAAAAAAAAAAAAACCCCTAAAAACCTTCAAAATCAGATGCCTGATATTATGAAAATATGCAATACAGTATGCTATTGAGTTATCAAATACAGAACAGCTGAGACCAAATAGTCAGAGCCACTCATTTCCATGTTGTAAGTGTACAGTTGGCTGTAAGAATGTAGTCTGTCCCCTAATAATAATACTGGTTTGAATTGTTGAAGCAACATTTGGCTGTTCACCAGCTTTAGTGAGTTTTGCCTGCTTGAATAGGTACATGCGCCTATGTGGAACCTTGGAGATCATTAGTCTTTTCAAAGTGCAAGTCGAAGTAGTGGTCTTCAGACATTGTCCCCTTATGATAATGTTGGTCATTTTATGAAGAAATGGGGGGGGGTGGAGGGGTAGGTGTCTGTTTAGAAGAGACTCACTCTCCATGTTGTCACTTTTAAAGTGACATTCAGACTGTCAACTCTGACAAATACCCAAATTGAGTTTTTACAAGTAGTCTTTGGTCTGGGGCGGAAGGAGGTCTAGAAATCTGATCTTGCTTAAGTGGACTTCTCTGGAAGTGGCTGGATTGTGGTTCCTAAAGCTGCTCTAACACAAGGGCTGAACTTGTGCTTCATAGTAACCAATACCACTGCCAAAGCTCAGCCCAAAACTGTGGGCAAGAGGTGATTGACTTCTCCAAGCTCTGCCTTAGCTTCATCGTGAAATTCAAGGCAAGCTTGCAGTCCTCGGATCATTGGCAGCTTTTTTCCCCAGAAGAGCACGAGGAATGGTGAAACACTTAGCTATGCTCAGTGGGATGGCTAGAAGCCTTTTTCCTGTTCCTAACCTTCAGCACCACTTGTGGTCATTCTACCATCTCCAGAGATGGGCCTCTGATTTACAGCCAGCGCTGAAAGTGTATGGGGTTTTTTTTGTTGTAACTTTTCTGGAGAAATATCATCCTCTTTCTCTAACAAGCTCAAGTTTTTATTAGCTCCTGAATCAATCCTTTGCTGTCACAACAACCTCTGAAGCCTATTGAGTTTCAGGGTGCCACAAGTTTTATGCCATTTAACCTTTCTGGAGACTTCCTATTTCTTGACTTGTGCTAGTGTAAAGGCATCTTTCTCTTGTATTGTGTGATTCCAGAGTGTTATGTGCAAGCCCAACAAGAAATTCATACAGTTGCTCTTTAATGTACCTTTTTTTTTTTTTTTAAATGAAATTGATAGGATCTCAATCAGCTTCTTTGTTTTTAAACTTGCTTGGAAATGATCAGTGAGTTCAGGTTGTTATGAATGTGTCCACAGAGTCTAAACATATGTAAGCCTAATTTCCATGGTAAACCCAGTGTTGAAAATAGGATTGTGGACTGTCCTTGGGAGAAGAAAAAGGATGTTTTCTGTGGGGCTGCTTATTCTGGAGAGGGGGATCTCTGAGTGTATTTATTATGTAGTTCCTTGGCAAATGAGATCAAATTGAATTCTCATCTGGAGAGGGAAAAGTCTGGACTCTGTAATGTGTGTTTTCTCTTGGATGGAAGCTAGAAGTGTGTGTATCTTTTTCAGTGATTCTCTCAGTTTCCATAGTGGGTAAGGATTTAAGAAAGCCTAGATAATGCTGTTAATGTCTCAGAAGGCTTGTTCTCCTGATTTCATTTTTTTTCTAACCATGTGCCTCTCCTAATATTTCAATAAAACAGCTATTGTTGCCTATATTAAAAGCTATTATTGTTGCTGTGTTTAGCTCACGAATTTGTGATGCACAGTACATATTTAATTACTTCAGGGGGAAAATGTGAAGTATGTATTACTTCTACCAGAGTCTCAGTTATCAAAATTCAGTGTCTCTGTGGTGAAGGATATACTCCATGTGTCATTCACAATAGAACATGTTATTGCTCAGAATGGCAACTAAAATGAGGACTGGAAGACAGATTTTTATTTGCTTCTGGGTTTAGTAAAAACTACCTTTCCCTGTTGTTTCCATTTCCTGTCTACAATGGAAATGACTCTTCCATACATCTGTGCAGTGAGAGAGGTTGGTAGGTTATGGTGGTCATATAGATTAATGAATACCTAAATATTATTATCTAAACTGTTTACCAAAACCTGTGGCAGGCTCATCCCCTTTCTGACTCTTCAAATTATTTTAGATTTTGTCAGTACAACCTGAAACCCATAAGGGTTTTTCATATCTCTGAATGACTTGGGTTTTAGGGTAATTTGGCCTTCAGAGGATTCATCTAGTGACTGCTTGGAATGAAAATTTCTACCAACAGATCTTCAGTATTACCTTTGTGTCCAAGGACACAGTATTTCTGCTGAACTCAGGATCTCTGTTCTGGAGCCAAATATTTTGACCTAAAATGGGATTGATGGGAAAGAGGGAAGTAGAGGAATTAATTTTTTTTTTTTTCCCCCTTAGTCTACTGTCCCAAGCATGAAAATTCTATTTAGCCTTATATTGGAGCCTGTACTTTATGTATATTAGAGTAATTATGGACTTATCTGCCTGAAGTGTACAGCACTTGTCTTTAGACTGCATGTATTAATTGCTAGGATGGTTTCTGTCCTGTAGAATCAAAGGCTGAGTTTCCCCACTTGACATCTCAGGTGTTGTTCTGTCCTTTGGCAGAAAAATATGTACCATATAACTATGTGCATGTTCTGTTGATTCTTGGCATGATTTGTTTTATTGTTTGTCCTCATTGATTTTTCAATTTTCTCTTATCCTTTCTTTTTTATAGCCCTTTTAGGGTCTCCAGCTGGTGGAATCCAAAATTCCATTGGTTCTGTTGGCACAGGCCAGCAGAATACTCCATCGCTAAGTAATCCTAATCCAATTGACCCCAGCTCCATGCAACGAGCCTATGCTGCTCTTGGACTACCATATGGCAACCAGCCTCAAACACAGTTGCAGCCCCAGGTACAAGGCCAACAGCCGGCACAGCCTCAGGCTCACCAGCAAATGAGGACCATTAATGCACTGGGTAGGTGGAAAAAATACCAAGAAACTAAGGTGCTAAAATAAACTGAACTGTTGAATTTTTAGGATAGTCTAGTATTTCACTTGATCAGAGTAGTGGCTTTCTGTTCATGTTGATTAATAACTTAAAATTATACTATTTATAAACACTACCATTCATTTACATTTGGATATTAGAAAGCTTTGAATATATTGCTTCTGCCAAATAGCAGTAGTTTTAGTTTCTTTTAAAATATAGTCCATAGCTTATTGGTGTCTAAGGTGATTAGACAGAATTGCTGAAGGATTTTGGTTTGTTTAACAAGTATTTCACCTATTCTAGCAGACAGTTCTGTCTCAAATGCTAATTTATTTCTGGAACTTAATTGTAGTATTATCTTCTTTTTAGCTTACTGAACTAGTCTTAAGAATTTATGAATTTTAAACTTTAGTAGACTATTTTTTGTAGAAAAAAAAAATGTTCAGACTGAAAGTAATTTTTTATTCCAGAAGTACTTTTATGATAATATCTGCTGTGGTGCATATATGTAGCTACTTATCTGCTACACTGGTTTTTTTGGTTAACATGTTGGTTGGTAAAGTGTAGTTTTGCCACGTTATTGTCAAAATTGTGAACTGGGTGCCAATGATGTTTAATTTTGTCCCAAAGGAGCCAACCAGATGAACCTTCCTGCAGGAGGAATAACAACAGACCAGCAAGCTAGCCTAATTTCTGAAACAGCTCTTCCAACATCTCTTGGGACAAATAAGTAATGCATGCATTTTCATTCTTGCTCAATTAAACATTTATTTACATGCTTATGAACGTAAATAAAGAGCATGCTTTAAAAACTAATTGTATTGGCATGGAAATCATCAGTCACATCTATAGCTATGCTCTTCTTTCCTATTTCAATTCTGTATCTACCACTTTGTCCCCCCAAGAAAGCCCCAGAATATTTAGTAGTTTTAATAGTCTTCCTTTGGGAATTAATTTTTGTATTTTTAAGTTGTGATTCTTTATCATTTGTACCATGTCTTGCAAACTCCTGAGCTTTGCTGCTGTAGGTGTTGCAGTTTGCTGACGTCAAAATTTCTCTTAGAGAATGTTTAGTGCTGTAGCTAGAAGTAATGAAAGGAATTACTTAAAAATTACTTCAGGCATCAAACATACAACAAAATTCTGCACACTTTGCTGTAACAGTCCCTTTTCTTTTTATTTTAGCCCACTAATGAATGATGGCACAAATTCTGGCAATGTTGGAAACCTCAGCTCAATGCCAACGGCTGCACCTCCTTCTAGTACCGGGGTAAGGAAAGCATGGCATGAACATGTCACTCAGGACCTGCGCAATCATTTAGTACATAAACTGTAAGTATTCACCAAGGCCACATATTTTTCCTGAATGTTTCTAAAGAATTTTAATACTGTAGTTCTGCTATTAAGCTGTAAAGTTGTTGATGAGAAAGTTACCACTTCTCTGACACTGGGCAACTGGGCCCTCTTCTTCAGTTCATTCTTCATGCTCATTAAGGAATGGGCATGAAGTTAGTTTATATTGCTAGTAAATTCGCTGTGCTGTAGTAAACAAGTATTTAGACTGTAGACTGTCAAACCTCACATTTTTTCATCATTGAATTTGCTTTAATCTTGTGGGGAGTAGTGCAGTCTAATTTGGTGGTTTTGTGGGTTTTTTTTCCTTACAGTTTTGGTATGATTTTACATCTCTGATATATGAAGGAATGTCCAGTTTGAATATTATAAGGCTGTATTGAATTTTTTTTTCTCTGAAGAATTTTTCTTTCATTTGTTCTTCTTGTAGCGTCCAAGCCATCTTCCCCACTCCTGATCCAGCAGCACTGAAGGACCGCCGCATGGAGAACTTGGTGGCTTATGCCAGGAAAGTGGAAGGAGATATGTATGAATCTGCTAACAGTAGGGTATGTTGCTTCAGTCCAGGTATTCAGTATATGTTCAATAACAGTAATATCACAAATCTTGTAAGCATAATGAAAACCGCAGAGAATCATTTCACTGTTGTCTTGATGAAGAAAGTCATGCTTTCTGTCTATGACAGTGTTTGTATGGTCCCAAGCCATCTGATTAATGTCACTCCAAGCTAATTCACCTCCCTCAGCTCCATGAAAACTAGACAATATCGTCCCAGCCCTATTTGCATTCTTCCTGAAAGTGTGATTGACGTGCATGAAGATTGGAGCACAGCTTGCAGTTCTTGATGTTTCTCTTGCTGACTTTCTCCTTTCTGGAAGTCTGTGTAAATAGTTTTAAAACTTTCTTAATGCCTCTTCACCATTGGAGGTTTTCTCTAGGACTCAGTCCTGTTACACTGCTTACCTTTTACACGCACTGTTGGAATTATTTTTCCTCTACTCAGCAGCACCGAGAGTGATTTGGCGAAGACGCATAGCTGTTTCACATCTCAACATAATAAGGACAAACACAGGCAAACTGACTTCCTGTGCATGGGAAACAAGACAGAATTCCTCTTGTTCATGGTTTTTGCTCTGTCTGCAAAGAGGTGTCAGTTCAAATCTTTCTTACTCAGACAGAGCAAACCCCTGTTGACTGACATGCTGAGGATACTATTTCATTATGACACTGTGGTAATTCTACCCTAAAGGAACCATTCCCTGAAAGTTTTCATCAGGTAAAGACAATGTTAGTAGCGCCAGTAATAATAGCTAGTGATCTTACCTGATCAGAATCTTGAGGTCCTTTCTTAAATAAGGTAAGAGTATCTAAAGAGAATAGTTAGTGGTGTTTCAGGTGATAATCATCCAGTAGGACAGTAACACTTCATCTGCCCCTTTCAGACCATCTTCCGGAAGAGCTGAAGATGGAATGCAAGTTTTATTTCCTAGAGGTAGATAGACAGTGGCCATACTTGTAATGCTGCTGCTGTGCCAGCATTGGTCAGTGACAATATCATATTCTCCTTGTGGCTACCAAGAGGTTGTTTAGCAAGGAAGACTTGTGTGTGATCATCCTCGATGAACCTGGTAGCTTTGGAGAACAACTTTAGAGAGAATGAGGATTTCATACACATACATAGGCATCTAAATACCTTCTCAGTAAGGATGAGTGTAGCAGACTTCTGGTTATAAATTAAATGTCTTTGGACCTCTATGCCAGACAAATACCCAGAAGTATCTTCTCTTCACCCCTTAAAACAGCTGTCAGAGCCTCATTGCAAGAAGTTTCTTATGGGAATTCATCTAACATACTTGGCTCCAAGCAGCAAACTTGGAAGAACGGAGTAGTTTAGAATGCATTAACGATGCCGTCTGGAATTGCATCCTCCTTTTTGAGGACCTTCCGTTCTACTTTGACATTGAAAAACAGCTTAGTATGAGGCACCATTGTAAGCAGTTTGACATTGCTGTAGTAGTATATGCTTCTTGTGAACATGTCCTTTTTCAGGAATCTTTGCAATGTGAAAGTAGCACAATATTAAATTTACAAGTAGGAAGTTATAGGTGAAGTGTCTAGAGCAGGAGGAGGGAAGGGGCTGTAGTGCTTTTAAATTGGACAGCAGAAAGTGTCTGCACTGATGAATTTCCGAGACATTTGGAGGAGGGAAGTGACCTGAAAACAAAGCTTTATATTGCAACACTGGACTTTCTTAACAAGGCTGGTGAGGAATACCTATTTCATATTAGTTTTCTGAAATGAACTCAGTCCTACTGTAATAACAAATTCTAGTTTTGATGAAAATCGGATGAAGACAAAATGATTGTGAGCCAAGCATCACTCAACCTTTGCTCCGTGTTACACTGGGTTTTAAGAGCATAGGTGACCCCACAAAAGAAATGTAGTCTTGAGGGTTTGTGGGGTTTTTTGCCTTTAGCAGGTGCATAATCTCATGCACTTGGCTGATGTGTGTCCAGCAATTGCTGACAAGCAAAATTGGCTACCTTGCTGTGCACTGTGACTGTCTTATTTGATCTGTTGTCAATGTAGATTGAGTAAAATGGATTTTTCATCTTGTACAGATGTAGTGTTTAGTTGTCTGTGCCTGTGGACTATTTTTCACTGATTTCCTCCATTCCTTTGGGGTTTTGTCTGGTTTTGTTTATTCTTTGCAATGACTGTCGGTAGTCAGACTCTTTAGGAAAAGAGTCGTTCCTTTCTTTATGTAAAAATTGATCTGTCCTTAACATCTGTCACCTGAAGTTTACTTGGCATAACTGTGGTGCTGGGAACTTTTTTTTTCTTTTGTCTGTGGATCACTGGAAATGTTTATTATGAAAATAACATTTAAAGATCATTAACACTTAAACTAAATTGGCTTCCTGTTTTTTTGACAAAGCAACAGAGAATCTACAGTTTTCTCCTTTGTCTACTAATCTACTCAGAGTAGAAATGAAGAATAGTCATAAAGCCAGGTCTCGTGTGTGTTTTCTGGAAGCTTTATTTCTCCTTTTCTGCATTAAAGCAGTGATGAGACTGTCTCAATTTAACAGAACTCTGAATAGAAATAGTTGTTTTTCAGATAGACAGGTGTATACATTAGAAAAAAAGTGACAATATTCTGGTAGACTACATGAGTTCTGCTGCTGCTTTCTTATACTTGATGCTGAGTAGTATTTTTTTTTTTCTCTTTTAGGATGAATACTATCACTTATTAGCAGAGAAAATCTATAAGATACAAAAGGAGCTAGAAGAGAAACGGAGATCTCGTCTACACAAACAAGGGATGTTGGGGAATCAGCCAGCCTTACAGACCCCAGGACCTCAGCCTCCTGGTATCCCACAGGTGGCTGCTGCCATGGGCCAGGCACAGCCCGTAAGGCCACCCAGTAAGTACTTCTATAGGAGGTACTTCTGCACTTCAGCTGTAGCTCTGCACAGTTTGTGTCCTTGGGCTCTCATGCTAATCTTGAGCTCGTATTTTAAATTGGTTTTTGCTGACCATTCTTCTGTTGTGTTGCAGATGGGCCTATGTCCATGCCAACCGTGCCTATAAGTCGTATGCAGGTTTCTCAAGGTATCTATGTTTTCCTCTCTAATTGCAATTTATGGGTTCAGATAATTGTTAGGGGGGGGAAAGCTGATCTTCTGTTTTTCTTTTGAAGTTAAGGTGGGGGGAACTACTGGGTCTCCCTTTTTTTCAGCATCATTCTTTGTTGTTGCACTGTGGCAGGAACTGTCTCAGTGCAGTCTTAAGAACAGGCAATATGAACCCAATACTTTGCTAGTGATTGGGAAGTAATTCAGTCCTTTCAAAAAGAGGAGAGCACAAGCAAGAATACTGTGGATAATCTAATTTAAAACACTGTAGCGACAGGGCGGGGGAGAATGTTGGCATGTTTTCATTGGTTAATTAGCCAAAAACACACCTGTAGCTGGAAACTTAACACATTGACTGTAGAATCTGTATAACTAATTATATCCTTTCTTGGTTTCTGATGCAAAGTGCATCTGAAAAAGCCTTCTAGCTTGTTCACAGTACTGATGACTTGCCATCACTGATGTAGGATGCTGTGGGCTCATGGGTGGGGTTTTTTCCTGAAAAATAAAAACCTGTGACTTTTAGGTGCTTCAGCTTCCTCCAGAAAAGTGTCCCCAATTATTTTATTTCTTAGTTCAGAGTTAGTAAGTTGAAACTTGTGTTGAAATGTCCTTGAGAACTTAGATCCTTTTAAAATTCATTTCAGTAGGAGAAAAAGTTGATAGCAAGTATAGCTCCATAATTATTTATTTACACCTTTATTCCCATTAGACAAGTTTGTGTGGTTTTGGAGGGGTTAAATGTTTTGTATAAAAAGCACACCACCTGTTTAAGCATATTGCTAGCTTTTGTGCTGATTTGAGGCTAGGAGTTGTCTTCATATATACAATATGTATTTTTATCATATTTACTTCAACCATGTCAGTGAGGCCTGAATAAGACATTGCTGTTTCAAAGCAAATGCCTGATTTTAAGAAACCATCCCAAGGTATTATTTGCAAATAGCATCCTATCTTTGCAGATCATCCACACTCTTCATCTTTTGCTTTTTTTTTTTTTTTTCTTTCCCCCTTAGACACCAAAAGTTATATTTCGCCCTAACTGGTATTGTAAATACTTCTTGCATCCTGATTTGTCTCTTAAGCCAAGTAATTTGAACAAAGTTAAAAGAAAAAGATGAAGTGTAGGGCAGTCAAAATTTAGTCATAATAAATGTTAATTTTATAGTAAGTATACATACATAAATTCTGATGACTTGTTCCTAATGAGTTGTTTTGGGGGTGCATTTGCAGGAATGAATCAGTTTAACCCCATGTCCATAGGGAATGTACAGATGCCACAAGCACCCATGGGACCCCGTGCAGCTTCTCCAATGAACCATCCTGTACAAATGAACAACATGGGCGCTGTTCCTGCGGTTTGTACTTCTTGTTACCAAGTTCTCAAAGTTGGTTGATTACACTTAGCAGTTAACACTGTTCTGAAAAAGCCATGTCATACACTAGTGCTGTAAATTGTAAGATAATTTCATGGAAACGTACGGAGTCTGTCAGGCTTTTATGGAGGTGTTTGTTTTCAATATATATGTGGCTTTTTAAAAAAAGACAAACAAACAAAAAAGCCCTGAACTTTAGAGAGGTAGGTGCCAGAGATGCAATAATCCCCAACAGTCTGTGTGGAAGAGCATAGTTCTTTCAGAAACTGTGTATTTGCACTATATATACCTTCTTTATTCCTGCATGAAAACATGTTTTTATTCTTTAGAAAAACAAAAATATTTTCAGTTTCACTAGGTTATCTTTGTTAGCTCAGAGAACAAAACGGGGTTTTAACACTCTAGTAGAGTTTTGAATATTACCTCTTTAAAAATAACTTCCTCATGAATACTGTGGAACAAATGCTAAAGTTATGTGCATATGCTGACTTGCATTTGGTTTACTGAAGCTGGTTTTCTTTTTTGGGGGGGGGAGGTTTGTCCTATCTTTTGGTCAGTTACGTTGAGGGTATTTTCCTTTGTCTTGCTACATAATACTAAATGGTAATATCTTTAATTTGTGTGTTAATTTTTAGATGGCAATGTCTCCCTCCCGAATGCCTCAACCACAGAACATGATGGGAGCTCATTCCAATAACATGATGGGTCAGGCTCCTACCCAGAACCAATTCCTGCCCCAGAATCAGTTTCCAGCATCCAGTGGGGCTATGAATGTGAACAATGTGGGCATGGGTCAATCGACAGCCCAGGCTGGGGTGGCACAGGTAAGATGTATTTTCTAATGCTTGAGTTATTTACTGTTAATTATTTTGTTCTAATTTGTGTCATTTATGTATGTTTGTTTACTTATGTTTATATATCCATTGTTTATTGTACTCGCCCTGACTTTGGGGGATCTTGGGTTACCTCTGCCTTCTTCATAAGCCTTTACATAACCTATCTACATATGCTAAGGGGGAGGCAACGTGCTGATGAGATTTTTAGGGAAGTATCAGAAGTTAGTTTATGGGACGTTTATGAGCATATGCTTTTGTCTTTGTGTGGACCTTAGTAGCTAATTAAATCAAGAGTTACGATAAAGTGGTTGGGGAAGATCTCTTAAAGTTTGTTTTAACCTCTCTACTTCTGAAAAGAAAGTTGGGGTTTTTCTGTAACATTTTTCTGTTACAGTAGTGGTCAGTGAAGTAGCAGCTGTGCTTATGGTGCCAAAGTATATGCTTTTCCAAAGGGAGAGGCTTGTTTTTTAACTCAGAGTCCAAGTAATTTAGGTTAGTTGAGACCTCCAGAGTTCTCTAGTCCAGCCCCATCCTCAAATGAGAGCTAATTTACATCAGGTTATGAAGAGCTCTGTCAAGTCAAGTTTGGAATATGTTCAGGATGGAGCATCTACAGTTTCTTGGGCCCTGGCTCAGTTGTTTGACCGCCTTTGTGGTGAACATTTTTTTCCTAATGCATTTAGTTCAATAAAACTGACTGTGTATAGGCAATATAGAAGCATGTTTTAAATTTGAAACCTCGTCTGCAGGAAACTATTAATTGATTGAGATTTCTAAGAGTACGAGGTATATCTGAGGATAGAGCATTCTTTTTTATGACTAGTTATCTGATGCAATCTTTAGTAAAATGTATCATTTAAAAGTCTGTGCACATCCAGAATTCTTTATTGTTGCTGCTCTGAAAAACAAATCCACAATTTTCTTAAGCATCTAGAGTAGTCTAATTAGAATTTAAAAAAAAACCAAAATACAACCAACCAAACAAAAAACCCTCTTAAGTCTTGCACTGTGCAATGAGGCAGGCATTAAATGTGTTGATCTGTCTTCTAAAGCAGGGCTGCTCTAGAGTCCTGGCCTAAAATGTGTATTTGCTCGAAACCGTTTTGTATGCAAAGTCTGACCTTTGCCCAGCTAACGGCATGATTTAGAGATTGTCTGCCTGGGGGTTTCTGTGTTACTCGGAGATCGTGAGGATTCCTTCTCTGTGCCAGTAGAATTAATGTAAAAAGATGTGCATGGCACATCTAGGTCTAGGAGCAAGGTCTTTCACTAAGAGCTGATGAAGATGATTAGAGAAATCAGAGCATAGTCATTTGCAATAGCAGCATTTGTTTATAGCTGATCTCATGTTTAGAATTAGAGTATTCTGTTAAAGATGACTTCAGTGCTGTGATTTAAAGGATAACTGTGATTCCCAGCGTTTTGGGAGTCACATGTCTTTAAAACAATCTCTCTCTGTAGCAGGGGCAGGTTCCCAGTGCTGCTCTTCCCAACTCCATGAACATGCTAGGACCGCAGAGTGGGCAGTTACCATGTCCACCAGTGACCCAGCCCCCTCTACATCAGAGTACACCTCCTGTGTCTACTGCTGCTGGGATGCCACCTATTCAGCACCAAACACCAACTGGAATGACTCCTCCTCAGCCAGCAGCACCCACTCAGCCTTCGACACCGGTCTCATCTTCAGGACAAACACCAACACCGACACCGGGTTCTGTTCCAAATGCAACACAGACACAAAGCACACCTACAGGGCAGACTGCGGCACAGGCTCAAGTCACACCGCAACCTCAGACCCCAGTTCAACCCCAGTCTGTGCCAACCCCACAGCCATCGCAGCAACAGCCAACATCTGTGCAGGCACAGCCACCTGGCACTCCAGTAAGTACCAGCTAGTTGCATTTTCCTTGTGTAGTAGCATTCCACGAGAGTTCTCACTATGTATAGCACCATGTCATGAATGTATAGAGCCCATAGTTGTCAATAGTAGCTTCTCCTTTAGACCAAAGGGTTCATTATAGAGACGTGTAAAAATGTGTGTGTTCAGATGTTCTCAGCATTGTTTGAAGGAGGGGGGTGTATTGAATGACTTTGAACTGCTCAAAGTAAAAATGGCAGCGGTGTGCAGAAAGATGAGGCATAACAGGCCTAATACTATATGTGGCCTTAATCAGAATCAGTCTTTTTTGATCATGAAATTTGCATAAATTTTTTCTTTTAAGCTTTAGTCAGGATGAATGCACATGTCAAGGAATGTACAGTGTTTTACTGGGCAGGTGTTTTCTCTGTAAAAGAAGCCTCTTTGGGGCAGAATTCTTCCTCGGCTTCTCCTCTGTAAAGCAGAGTTACTAAATGGGTTACATCGAAACTTGGCTACAGTGAGCTCCTGTATCCATGTTCTGCACTGTTTTAGAATATCATCTCATGTCTCTTTTGTGCTGTTCATTTTTAGTAAAGGAAAATATTTCTATATATGCAGTGTCTTTCTTTTGTACTGTTTTTACAACAGCTATCCCAGGCAGCAGCTAGTATTGATAACAGGGTCCCCACCCCTGCCTCAGTTGCTAGTGCTGATACGAATTCCCAGCAACTAGGACCAGATGCACCAATGCTAGAAAGCAAATCAGAAGTTAAAACTGAAGAAACTGAGCCAGAGACTAGTGAGACACAAGTGGAAGCTAAGACTGAGGTAAATGAGATTCTATACAGCTTAACTGAAAGCAGTGATAGATATAAAAGCACTTAATGATGTGTCTGAATTGGTGAGCTAAGGGGCGAGAGGAGGGTAGTTACTGGAAAGTAACTGTCCTGAGGAAAGCCATGGATGGAGAGTGCTTTGACAATCTCAAACTAATATTTTGATGACTGGAGTTTGGGTCATAGATGTAACAGTACCTCTCATTGCATCCTTTCTTAAGGTGGAGGAGGATTTACAAGGATCTTCACAAACAAAAGAAGAAACAGATGGAACAGAACTGAAACAGGAGCCAATGGAAATAGAAGAAAAGAAGCCTGAAATAAAAGTAGATGCTAAAGAGGAAGAGGAGAGCGGCACTAATGGAACCACTTCACAATCCACATCGCCATCTCAGCCCCGCAAAAAAAGTAAGTGTATGAAAACTGAGTTTTTTCTTGTGTACTTTATTGTTCTAGGATTTGTTTTCCACAGTCTCAGCTCCTGCTGGGAGGTCTGTTTTGCACAGGTATGCCAGCACATGGAGCTCTAGGAGATCCATACTTTGTGTAATTTATTTTTGAAAGTAGCATTCCTTTAATGTTATATTAATCACAGGTGAGCATGTCATTGTGCTCTTGATCCCAGCAGTTTTCTCACAGCTTCCAGTTTCTGCCCAGAAGGACAAAGGCAGTTAAGGTAGTGACTGCTGGAGAAATTATATACATAAATCTCTCGCTGTACATCTTGGCCAGTGCTCTTTCAGGGGACCTTAGTGTAGATAGAGTGCTCTCAGTAACCAAGAATATCCATTGATTTGCTTTTCTGTTAGAGGCTGCACACGCCACCTTCGTACTGAGTTTTAGCCTTCACTTCTCTGAGAATCGGGCGCTTGAATTCCTCTTCTGCATCTGTGTTCCTCCAAGGCTGATCTGCTGCAATAGCCTTAAACTTTGAAGTCCTGTGTAGTTTTCAGTGTAGTGTTCATTTGAAAGCTTTCTTCTCAGAAATAGTTAGGTCAGTAGTCTCTTAATCAACAGTGTTAGCATAGATTTAGGTGTGACTGTATCTGTATACTGTATATTTTTCCAAAAGGTAGCTTGATGGCATTATAGATCTTGAATGGTCTTGCATACATGATTGCATGCCTTGAGTTAGTAAGAAATTAATAATAAGATTCTTAAAGAAAACAGGCAAGAAGAAATTACTCCATTTGTAGTGCAGGCTTTGTGGGAGCCTGCAAGATAAGTTTTTGGACTCAAAAATGTTAGCTGTTTAGAGACCTTAGCATCCTGTTTTTTAAGATGATGTTTTCTGTGCTTAGTTTTTAGGTTTTGACCAAAGCTAAGCTTTCAGCTTGCTGCAAATGTCAAAGAAGGGAGAGTGATGATCCATTTCATTACTTTTTTCTTCTTCCCTTGCAAAGGAAACTGCATATAACTACATTAAGAGAATATTATGGGTGCATGCCTTCCAGAATATGATCAAGAAACCACAAAGTTTTAAAGTTTGTGCAGCTTGAATCTTGATCTCTTGTATATGCTTTGGGTTGCATTTAATTACTAAACATAATCTTTTTATAATAAAGCACTATGAAACAGATTTCCTGTAGATTGTATTTTCAGTTTGTAGCACAGTGGGCCAGCCAAATGAGTGTGCTGCAGAAATAACTGGCAGAGCCTATTTCGAACAAAATGTAACATAGGGAGTGGAAAGCTTATTAGCATTTATAAACCAGTTCTGTTCCCAGTGGAAAGAATCAATGCTGCTTGTTAGGAGCATGCTTGCAAGTAAATCGAGGCAAGTGGTTGAAAGGGGAAGGTTCTTGCAGAATTAGTCCGTGGAAGGAGCTGCACTGTTGTTCTGATTCAGTCTGGGTTACTACCTATTTCCAATACCTCATTTAGTAACGCAGTTTTATCTTAGAAATATTGTCACTAAGCAACTGTACAGTATAATGCATGTGCAGCATAGGCAGGTACAACAGCGTATACAATTTTAAATGGTGACATTTTCTCGCCAAGTAGTTTGTCCGACTTTAATAGAACGTTTGTATTAAAATGCTAAATAAACCAAGAGGTATTCGAGAGCAAATACTGTGAAGTGAGCTTAAGGGTTATAAGGTATTTTAAAACTACTTATGAGACTCATCTTGGAGTTTTTCATGGGTTACAAAAGTATTGGAAACTCTTCTTCCTTCCCGTGCGGCCAGATTCCTGAGGTGCACCCCACAGTAACCTGCGATGTAACAGATACATCCTGCAGCTACTAAGGGGAAGGCTCGCAATTGGAAGTGTCATGGAATGTGTGCTGTTAAGATAACCTAGCAAGTTGTAGCCTGATACCTTAATGTTTGAAAAGATTCATCTGGACCCTAAAGGAGCATTTTTCTGGGTACAAGTGGCTTATGTTGTGGAGTTGGAATCTCATCTGTTTGTACCACCCATCCAGGTGTACTGAACACCATCAGCCTGGCTGTGGTCACCTCGTATAACTACACTGTAACCTGACTTAAGTGATGGGAAATACTGTATGGGCTAGAGCACAGACCAAGATAATACTGCTGAGATACTGGTCTGCTCAATTCACTTACATGTGAATTTTTTGTAGTTTAGCTTTTTTGGAGAATTGCAGACGCCCCTTCAGCAAGCTTTTCTTCCTCATCAAGGTTTTGCCTTTATAAATGAGGGAACCAAATGCATCCAAATTCAGGGTTTGTTTTGGTTTTGCTTTTTTTCTGCAAATCTCATGTAAGCAAGAAAGGAAGGGTTTTGGTTCGTTGCCTCTTCCCTTGCAGTCTTCTCAAAAGAAACAGTAGAATACTCATTGGGGTTGCTCCTGTCTCCTCCTCTTGTTGTAGATGGATGCCTTAGTTTGACCTTCAAGATTAGTTTTACTGGTTTCTTCCCTTCTTTGTAAAACATAGTAATGCAAAACCTGCAAGGGCTTGGGGCGGGGGGGGCGGTGTATTCAGGTGTATTGTACTTACTGTTTTGAAGATATCTCCCTCCTCCTTTACACAAATTTTCTCCTTGGTAATCATAAGCAGGATTTCCTCTGTTTGAAAGAAATAAAAATTTTAAAAGGTAAAAAAGGTAGCATTATACTCTTCTCTGGCAGATAATAATACATCATCATGATTCAGGCGAAGATCCCATTTTCTTTTTACCACCCACGCATCCAAGACAAAATGGGATAACTGGATGCCAGCTCCTTACAAAGATCTTCTAGCTACCAGAGGAGAACCAACCGCATTTAATTGTAGAAAAGGGGGAGAGGGGAGAACATAAACTTTCTTGTAAAATCTGTGTATAGGGAGATCCTATGATCAAATGTTCTGTTATTAGTTGTATTCCCTAGAGGCAGAGCAGCTTTTTTACTGCTAAAGATGAAGGTAACTTTTCTTCACCTTTTTAGGTGAAGTCATAAATCAAAATAACTGGATTTTTATTTTTATTTTTTCAAACTTCAAAATGAAAGTAGGTTGTAAATTTATCAGCAGAGATAATTAGGCTTTAAGAAACTGGACGAAAGTTGTGCTGAATCTCTGTAGTTTGCGTTTAAATTAACATTGGATTTATTTTGAAAGATACTCCAGGTTAGTGGTATGTTGTTATAGGGGTCGGTGCAGGGAAAATTCTAAAAACAATGTCAAGCAGGTGGCCAGAATAGATTATTAAAAGGTGCTTTTTGAGCTTTAAATTTCATTAAATGAAATAATTCAGATTATCAGGTTATGAATTCCCTGAGCCAGAGAAAGATGCTTCCAGAAGCAATACAGAACACTTTTTCTCCTGAATGGAATTTGGTATTTCCTTCTCTTCTCAAGAATTCCATAATATAATTTAGTAGTTGTTTATAAAACTTTGAGAGTATATGGTAGGGTTCCTTTCATAACAAAATGCCTGCATATATGGTATCCATAAATACTGAAGAGAATTGCCATTTTATCGGGACTGAGATTGTGGCAACAGCTGAAATTATCATCAAGTTGCATTCATCGTAACAACAAATACAGGCCTCCTTGGCTCAAATCTTGGTTTTAATCTGGTGTGTCTGAGTTCAGTAGTAGCAGCGTGAGATCTTGATGTATCTGTAAGGCAAGTCCTTGCAGAAGCCTTTCTGGCAGCTTGCTCAGTCCTTTGCCATGATTTAGGTGACTTGGGTGGTATCTTGCCTGTTGTGTACATGAGCGGCAATCTTCTCTCCAGTTAGAGGCAGTGCACTCAAACAGTCTTACAATTTTCGTCCTGACTAACAATTTCCAGGAGCTGCAGTATCTCCAAATGGCTAAAAAAAATTGAGAATTTAACGCTTCAGAAATTTTTTGAGTAGTGTCAACTTAATTTCTTGCCTTGCTTTATTTTTGTGTGTAATTTTGGTGAGTGTAGTTGAGATGAAAAGACTTCCTCTCAGAAATATCACCCAAATGAAAAAGGGGGGGGAAAAAAAAAAAAAAACTTTGTAAAAATCATAGATCTTTAACTAGAAGTCCCCAAAAGCAATTTCTATCTTTACCAAAATACCATTTGAGTGACAAAAGCAATGATCAGCCTCAAAGGGGTCACTGTAGCCCTGTTGATTTAAATGCTTTCAACAGAACTCCTAATTGCTCCCTTTTATTGGTATCGTTCTCGTTTCAGCCAGGTAGATAAATATTAGATGCCATCCAGCTTTCCTTAGTTGTCTCTTTTTTTCTAAATAATAGGCATTCTTCCCTATTTAAAGACTCTGTTCCTAAGGAAATAAATGTAATTACACTCCTGAGATGTTCAAAGAGCTCTCCAAGTTATCATTATTTTTCAGAAAATGCATTGCCTTTCTTGTCCTTGTCATCCACTATTGAAAGAAACATGGCTGTTGCCATGCCGCTGTTGCCAAGTGGTTGTAATGATGCATATAAATCTGGAAGTATTAACACTTTCAAAATCAATTAACAGCCCATCAGACCAGGACTATTTGTATACTATGGCCAGAAAATTCCTGTGCCAGCTATCAAGACATCTGGTTACTCTCTGTAGAGCTGGCCCTTCGGCCCTGTCCACTATAGTGTTTTTTTGCTAGAAGAATCTTGGCTTGGAAATAGCAAACAAGGTTAGAAGGGAGGGAGAGGAAGCTATGCTTAGTCTCTTCTCTGAAGAGCTAAGGCTCATCCATGTTGAAGTGATTGAATTAATTTGGTTCTGGATAAGTTCTGGTTTTTTTAATGCTCTAGAATATGTGTTGTTTTGGGCTACAGTTGTTCTTATCTCCTTGTTCTGAGGATATCACCTGCTGTGATTTGGGTAAACATAGAGGCTGTGCAGTAGCCCCTTGATAGTAAGCTTTGCCTCTGATCTGATCAGCTATGCAGATGAGGAAATCCCTCTTAAGAATTTTTTTTTTTATGTTAACATAAGGTTTTTGGGGTTTTTTTTTTTTAGGGGAGTCAAGAGGTTAGGAAACCTGGAAGGAAATTTGCTAACCTTTCTGACTTTCATTAACAGTTTTCAAACCTGAGGAGCTGCGCCAGGCTCTCATGCCTACCCTTGAAGCCTTGTACCGGCAGGACCCAGAGTCTCTACCTTTTAGACAGCCTGTGGATCCCCAGCTTTTAGGGATTCCGGTGAGTTGGCATTAAAAAAATAGAAAATGCTTTTGTATTTTGTCTTTGCTCATATAAACATTTCATCTTTTCTGTACAACATAGTGTGAACAGTTGACATCTTAAAAATAAAGGGTTTTGTGTGTGTTTGAAGGACTACTTCGACATTGTGAAGAATCCTATGGATCTTTCAACCATTAAACGTAAATTGGATACTGGGCAGTACCAAGAACCGTGGCAATACGTGGACGATGTTTGGCTAATGTTTAACAATGCCTGGCTTTACAATCGCAAGACTTCCAGGGTCTATAAGTTTTGCACTAAACTTGCGGAGGTGTTTGAACAAGAAATTGATCCTGTTATGCAATCACTCGGCTACTGTTGTGGGCGCAAGGTATGTATTCCAGGATGCAGTTGTATTCTTCCAAAGAGCTTAGCTTGATTAATCAGGTAAAACATATGCTTTGTATACTCTTTTTTTTAAACATTGAAACATTGAATGAAAGGTTTGGTAAAAGTTTGGCTTTATTATAAGCATGCTGAGGGCTAAAAAAGGTAGATATCATCCTTCTTGCTGCTATTCTATTATTATCGTTGTATTTTTCTCCCTCAGAGAGCACCTTTTTTGGTCATAAGTATATTAAAATACTTCGCTCGTTTCCTGTGTCTGTTGCAATAAAGTAGGTGGTTAGAGGGTCAGCTGTTTATCTTATATAGTTAATAATTGTAATTTAATTAAGAGAACTGTGCTAATACATTTACAATAGCTTGGAAAAGTATGATAAACAAAGCAATGTATTATGATATCTGTAAGCATCAGGTTTGCCTAATACATACTTGATTAACATAAGATTACATTTTAAAGATTCCTTTCTCACTGTTGTTTTGCAGTATGAGTTTTCTCCACAGACCTTGTGCTGCTACGGCAAGCAGTTGTGTACTATTCCTCGTGATGCTGCCTATTACAGTTACCAGAATAGGTAAGTCCTTGACTTTGGTGGGTTTTTTTCCTTATTCAGGAAGTGAGATCCTTTGAGTTCTCTGCACATACGGAGGAGGAGGAGGATTATTAACTTTTTCTTCCCTGTGTCAGCTAAGTCAGGAGAAAGTTATTTTTATATCTTTTCATGCTGTCCTTTTGCAGGTGACCCTTTAGTTTCCTGTACTACAGCTTGATACACACTGTACTTAAGTGCTTGCTATTAGCTAGGGTGCACCACGCACCAGTTAAGTGGAAGTGAAGTTGTCCATGTTTTCTGCAAAATTTGTAGCAGGGCTTGCTGGAGGGAGAAGGACAGAACTGCAAAAAGGCACTGAGAAATCATGTTACCTTGTTCAGGGAGAATTGTAAAAATATGCAGGTTTGTTTTCAAATTAGCATCAGAATTTGCAAAGTAAAGGATACAGTGATTGATTGCAAGACTTATGTTCTCTCTTCCTAGTTAGTACTTAATTCTATTTAAATTACCTTTGAATTAGCATTGAAAACTACCCAGAGACTCCATGAGAAGCTATGAAAACCATAGTTTCTATTATTTTAAAATTATTATTAGCATTTGGTGTTTGTATGATTATTAAAAAATTGTTATATTAATTTTCCATTTAATGCTTAAATCAACAGTGCTATTATAACAAAGCAAACTTAGAACTTGGCTTTGGTTTTGGTTTTGGTTTGTTAGATGTGTGTTGTGTCCCGTCCCCCCCAAAAATGCAAAACATAAATGGACTACAACACAAACTTCCCTTTCCCTGTTCAAAACAAAGTTATGAATTGCCTTTGAATTCAAAGTTGTGAATAGGCTTGGCAGTCTGTAAGTCTTGCCAACTTTGAAGTGCACAGCAGGCAGTTGTCTAACTGAAGTTACAGAACTAATTCAGACAGTCAGTGCTTGCATTTAGTCTTTCTTAGGGCAATCCCTACATCATCAAACATGTTGTAAGATGGTGCAAGACTGTTGTGTACCACCTAGCTGAAGCCATACAGTGTGGGAGATGAAAACGTGTTGTCTTACATTGCATGTTGGGTCTTAGGTGGCCTTTGTGAGGCAGATGGTATTGATGCAGAGGAATGTAAATTCACAAGCTTTTGTAAAAGGTTTTATAAAGCCACTGTGAACTCCAAAAAGAGTCAGTCTAAAGAGAAATAAAGTAATTAAAATGCATTTAAAGAGATAGTACTTCACTACTGGAAGTGGGGAAAAAAATAACCCTTAAATACCAACTCTGTGTGGTAGAATTTCAAATACTTTTCATATTATGCAACCACGTAGTACTGTATTTGAAAAAAATAGCAACTTCAAAAAGTGAAGAAGGGGTCATTTATCTTCAGTTATACTTTTCCTATTTCAGTTAGTATTAAATAATTTGGATTACTTGGTGGAAGGCAGTGCTGGTTGCTAGCAAGAAGTACGGGGTTGATGGGGCAGTGGGTTCCTCTGGACTCAGTGATGCAATATTTCAATTTCTTACCTGTTGTAAATGTGATAGTCCATTTACATTGCGTTTAGTCTAAAAGGGTAGTAGTAAAAGGGAGGTGATTCGTGGATTTTGTTCATCCAGATGTCTTGAGAAAGGGTTGGGATTTTGGAATTTGGGGTGGTTTTGAGTTGGGAGAGGTTCTATTTCAGTCCAACTAAATGGAGTGATGAATGGGGTTTTGGGTTGGGTGTTTTAACAAAATATTTCTGAAGATCAATCACCATATTTTTAAGTGTGCATTTGGACTATCAGAGCATAGAAAGCCCTTATTCATCAGCTGTATGGCTCTAAAACAGTCAAATTAACTGTTTCCTGTGACAGTGATCTTCAAATCTTAGGTTTTTCTTAACTGAGTAGCAAATTAGTGAAAAACACATTCTATGGTTCCAGCAGATGTTTAATTGGTCAAATGTTCTTGACTTTCTCCATTTACAGAACAGAAAAAATTGGACATACTTAAAGTCCAGCATATCACGTAACTAAAGTACAATATTTAGACACCATTGAATAAACGAACCTTGGCACTACAGTTCAATGAATAAAAGTTAGTTATTTGGTATAGAACTGTTTGGCTTCCATAATAAGGCAGAAGTTTAGGTTAAAGTGTTCAGAAAATATACTTCATGTGTGAATATCCAGTTGAGAAAACTGATTGGTATTTCATATCAGTACTAGTATCCAATTACTAAATTAGAATTTCCTTTGAATGCACTTAATTACAGTTGGACATTGACCTGTTAATGCAGAGATTGAGCATTTTCTGGACTTTGGTGTTGAACCATAATGTTACTATTTGATAAATGGGAATTGGTCACCTGAACAGTCTGCATTTGAAAAGCTTTTCATTTTTGATGTATTGCAATAAGTACATTCTTTGGATTTTCTATGACTGTTATAACTAGAATATTGTATGCTTTCTATGGGTTTTGTTGAGTATTTGTAGTGACATGCAAAAGTGAATTACAAGCAAGCCTCCATTTCTGAGGGTCCATATTCATAATAACTTCTAGCTGTTGTTTCACCTTGGTTATTTTATGGACAATTGTTCATGATCTTTAGGTGATTCATTTTCACTGTATTTCAGTTTTTCTTTCCTCATTTTAATATCATGGATTAAGGCTTGACTCTTGCTAGCGTTAGGGTTCAGTTCTGCAGCATGTGAAATCCTGTGCTCCATTTTGGATCTAAGGATTGCTGGAGCACGTGCTTAACATGCTGCCGAACCAAAGGGCTCATCCCTGTGAGACTGAGCTTCCCGCAGCCGCAGTGTGAACAGAGGGTGAAATATCGGTGCTGGTAGAGCTAGTTAGATTTCTGCGGTGTAACTTAAATCCAGTATCGAAGGCAGCCTTGTTGCTCAGTTTCATGAGTGCTTTGAAAGCCTGTGAATTATTCTGAAAATGGATCAGAATTAACCTTTTCTGGGATTGTTTAAATGTAGCAAAGTATTAATAGGAGCCTTGACCATGGATTTTTCTGGCTACACACTCCAGTGTTTGGGTCCTTCTGTGTTTCAGTCCTTCCCAATCCAACTCCTAAAATGAGCATCCTTGTTAGTAAGGAAAATAATTGCTGGGGTTTTTTAACTGAAGAAAAATTTAAAGAAGCACATTATAGAAAAAAAGGATATGGACAATGAGTAAAAGGATATAAAATTCTGAACCTGTTATGTTTGGGGTTTTTATTAAAAAAATGATTAGACAATACTGTATCAGTTTAGGGGTATGGGATGAGGGGCAAGTGAAGTCAGTGTAAATGAGATGTGCAGTGTCAGTATCTACTCCTGAAATAATCTTGTAATGTTGCTCTGTAGTAACCACAAAATATTTATCATTCCCAATGATTACAAATTAATGGAATTTTTTTTTTTTTTTCCTGGCCTTGTTCTGTTGCATTATCAGCTCCAAAAGCCTTGATTTTTCTTTGGGAGGGCAATGTGTTTAATCGTAGTTGAGCTGACCCGGGAGAAGAGAAGTCACTTGCAGTTTAACTTGTGGTAGGCTGGCAAGCAGCCCTCTGGGCAGGGAGCGTGGCATTTTAGCTCACGTGGTTGCTACCAAAGTTGCAGCTGCCCTGCTGGTAAGATGATTATGGAGATATGTCGGTATGGGCTGTATTAGCTGGAATAAAACATACCTTTTTCCTCTTTGTGTCCATTGCATGGTATAGGGGAGTATTCAGTGTGCTGCTGCATTTAAGTGGTTCTTGGCTAGCAGAGTAGCTCTTGAAGCCTGAGCCAGCTGGCAGAGTTTGCAGAAGTTTTCAGGCTCTTGTAAATTATGCTATGGTTACATGGACCTGGCTCCAGCCGGGGGAGGACGCAGATTGCTTTGCAGAACGTCTTTCCCCGATTCATCAGCCGCTGCTGAAGGACCTGTTCCCACTTGCTTCCGCTGTTTCACAAGCATGTAGAAAACATGTAGTGGAGGTGTGATGGCCACTGTGTGTCACAGGAGGAAATTCTGATCCATACATTTCAATAAGTGCCTATAAATGGCTTTTGTTGTCTCCAGGAAAGCACAGCCTTGGAGATCTGTCACCTGGATTACAGTAGTTTAAGTGTATGAGTATATATTTGAAGGGGCAAGCTGCCATATTTATTAATCTCCATCCCTTAAGTTGTTGGTTCATTGTGACATGGAGTCTCGTTTGATGCCTTTATACTTACCATTCTTACAGTTCTAGTGTTTGAGTACTAAAACTGCATTTTACTGTGCTGCCATTGCTGCTTACACTCTCTCACTCTTGTTCCTCCATAAAGCTCCTTTATTTTGATGATCCTTTGTGGCCTTCCTGCATTTTACAGCTGTGGCCTCTATTTGTTACCTTTGTTCATGTGTGAATTCATATCCTTTCCAAACATTTAGCCTCCTTTTTTTTTTCTTTTTCTTTTTTTCTTTTTTTTTTTTAAAATGACCCTGACAACTTTGGTTCCAGTTCATCTGAAACAAACAAACAAAAAAACCCACCAAAAAAAAAAAAAAAAAAAAAAAAAAAAACCCCCCAAAAAAAAAAACCCCCCACAAATCTGTGTAACTTAGACTTTTTTTTTTTTTTTTTCAAATGCAGATTGTATTTTCGTAGAGTTGTATTCCAATTTACTCAGCTTGGTTTGTTAAACTGCAGTATTGGTTTTGCTGAGTATAACTTGGATTGGCTCTTGGTCTGGTGACCACAAATTGTACCTAGCCTCATACTCAATTTGTAAAGCTTAACTCCACATCTTTAATGTACCTGATAAATATATTGTATGTATGTACAATATTTAATGTTGTTCACATATATACATATATTGTACTTATAGATAAATGGCTGGAAACTCTGACCCATAATTGCATTTCTGTTAAATGTTTGTCTAGAGTATGGATTTGGTTTCATTTATGTTAAATAAAATTAGCTGAGCAATTGGTCACATTTAATCTTATAGTGAAATAACTTTTAAATTTAATATTTTTATAGATTTTTTTTTAATAGCAAGTGTTCTGCTTTTACAGTTTTTACTGACAATCAGTAAATGCTTTCACCATATTTTCTCATTACTTAAATCTGTAATAAATGTGTTCTTAAAGCTTTTTGACAGGCTGTTTATTTAACCAAAGGAAACTCGATCAGTCGCAAGCCTGGAATCAAAGAGAATTTTTTCTTAAGTAATGCAAATCAAATCCAAATTCTTAAATTTGAAGTCTATACAAACGTAGCGCTTGGTAGCTACTTCATTAATCCTCCCCAAATTTTGAATTTGACACCTGACGACTAGTTAGTAATGTATAAAATGAGACCGAATGCTAATCTGTGCTTTGCCTTGGCTTTCTGCTCTGTGTTGTCTTGGTGTTTGCGTCTTACCTCTTATGTCTGTGCTGTTTGTTCCCTCCCCTGTTCTCTAATCCTGCCCTCCCCTCCCCTCTGTTCCTCCTCATTGTCCACACTGACCCATCAATCAACCAACAACGCCCCCCCTTTCGTCGTGGTGATCTGCCCTGCTCTGGTTGGTGGCTCCGTGCTTGGGTGGCTGTATGTTGTGCTGGACCAGTTCACCCAAATATGGCCTTCTTGCTGACAGGTATCACTTCTGTGAGAAGTGTTTCACTGAAATCCAGGGGGAGAATGTCACCCTGGGTGATGACCCTTCCCAGCCTCAAACGTAAGTTGCTTCCTTTCTTCTGCATGCCGCCTTTTTAATTAGGAGGGATGATGTGTAGTCCTGATCCGCCCTGTGGCTGGTGGTGGTGTTCGTGACGAAATGCCTACTTTCTCATTAATAGGAGATTTTTACAGGAACAGCTGATTAACAGTTGTTACTGTGTTGGGTCTGTTAGTCTGCCCAACAATGTCACTTGTGTCTGATTGCACTACTCAGGAGCTGCTTGTAGACTGGTTGCAGGGGGTGGCAGACACTAGATAATGTGGTTGGAGGGGGGGAGTGGAAGCTATGTCAACAAATGTCACTAATCCGTTACCTTTTCAAATGAAAGACTTTGGCTAGTCCTGATATCTCATGTTTTGAAGTGCAGCTTTTGTTTATGAAACCAGTGGCTTGGCTTTAACCTGATCAGAAAATAAGATGCTCTAAGATTTGAGGAATACAGGCTGTTTGGAAGGTGGCTGCTTTACTGACGATAGCTTCCCTTATTCTTAATGATTTTAAAATTATGTGTGTACTTCGGTATCTCTTACTTTGCTTTTAATTTACAGAGAAAGTGAAATAGGGGAAATATTTTCTGTAGCTTAAAATTAAATGAAATTAATTGCCTTCACTGAATAGAAAATAAATACTGATATGCTTGCTTCCAACTTGAGGTTTGCTCATTTGCTGCAGTTCAGAAAAGCATGATATTGTCTCAGCCTCTGATATGAAGGTACTACTGAGTTTTCATATTAACTCTTTGTCTCTAGAACCATCTCTAAAGATCAGTTTGAAAAGAAGAAAAATGATACACTAGATCCAGAGCCGTAAGTACCAGGCCGTTGTTTTTCTTAAGATAATCTCATCACTTTCACTTGTCCTTTAGCCAGCAGTTCAGAAATTAGGCAGTAAATAAAGAAGTCTTCCTTTTTCCCCCCATCTCTGCCCAAACAGGCTGCAGAATGTTTGTAGCACATCCTAAGAACTTGATGTCTACCAGTGGTATCCAAGAGGAAAATGTGAGCCTGTTTTAATGGCAGTTTCTAGTTCTGTTTAGTTGGGTAATTCCTAAGGTGTGTTCTGCAAGGCACTGCATAACTGGCTGAAAATGGCCCTCTGTCATACAGAGCCTTTCACACCAAGCCCTGAGTACCTATGGGGGATATCTGCATTCTCCTCTTCTGGTTTAGCTGGACTTCTAAGATGTTTTTCTCTTCACCCAAGTGCCTCATTCACTGAAAGAGCCATCCTCCTTCCTTGTGTATATTACCCTCAGGAAGTTCAGTAAAAGCAAAGCTGAACATTTCTTTAGCAGCACTGTGCTACTTTTCCTACTGTCCTTAACTAGCTGAAATGAGATTTTTATCTTACTGCTACTTTGTTCTCTCTGAGTTTGATATGTAATACATTTTGATTCCTTTTCTCATATTTTCAAATACTAAATAGAGCTCCTACCCCAGACCTTTAAAGGCAGACTGCTGAGGTATACCCCAGTGCATTTGGCTTCATAACCAATATTGCAGTCTTGACTGGGAAAAATTCTAATGGTTTTCCCATCCAAAAATGAATTTTGATGTATTAATTTCACCAAAAAAATAAAAAGACTACAGCAGACCCATGCAGGCAATGACAAGCTAATACATGTTTTCTTGGCACAGTGATTCACAAATTACTATACATTTACAGTAAGTTGAGCAACCATTTTAGTCAGTTTGTGCTTGTTGCAACAATTGAAAATTAAATCTCTGGAGGTATTGTTGAGCAGAATTCTTTGAAGCTGGGAAAACTCGGAACTCTGCTTAGAAAAGGATCCAGAAAAGATGTGCATGAAAGCCCATTTCACATTTTTAAACTACTATGTTTTAATCTCTCTAATTTGGACATGAGATTGACTAATGTATATCTGAAGCTACTCTAATGGTCTTTTTAAACTGGCATGTAAATTGGGCCTGCCGAAGTTGATTTAGTTCTTAGCAGAGGGTTGAAGAGTCCTTCTTTCCTGCTTAATTCTGGAAAATTACCTGCCTAACAACAAAAGTGATTGGTTGCTGTTTTTTCTTCTCAGGTTTGTTGACTGCAAAGAGTGTGGTCGGAAGATGCACCAGATTTGTGTATTACATTATGATATTATTTGGCCTTCAGGGTAAGATTTTTGTTAGTTTTTACCCCTTGTACAGCAAGACCAATGTAGTTTATATAATTAAGACTTTCTGCCTTTGTTCTTTAATATGCAGTCACTGCCTTTTAAGAACTGAGTATGAAAGGACAAAGCATTTCTAAATAAAGTATGTTTTTTGGTGTTTGGGGTCTCATGTCAGTATATTCAGGTGAAAATGTGCATGCAACCAACTTGTTCATATACACAGATTTCTGTGGTTTCTTTCTAACTACTTAAACAATGGAAGCTGGTTGGAGGTAAGTTTGTATACTACAGAACACAAATGCAGGTCTAACTCCTTGGATTAAACCAGCTTTAAGTCCCTCGAAAATTGAGAGATACAAGCTGTTCAAATCCAGAGAAAAATCTATTGTACTCTGACATTTACATTAGGGGTTCAAACATTGGGTTAAGCTAGGCAATAGTGGTTTATGCTAAGTCTTTGGCAATTTTTTTTCTCAATAGGTTTGTCTGTGATAATTGTCTGAAGAAAACTGGTAGAACACGCAAAGAAAACAAATTCAGTGCTAAAAGTGAGTTTGATATTTCTATTTTTATCTTCAACTTTCATCTTCTCCTTGGCACCCCTAATAGCTTTTTTGATCGAGACTTTCTGTTGTCATGATAGACAGTACAGGAACATTTGCAAAATGGGCAATAGTGTGGCCCAAGGCTTTAGTAGCTGTCGGAATTTTAATCAACATTTTAAAGATCTGCTCTTTTTGTGTTTGGTCAGTCTTAATGCTGCTTGAGGTATTTGGCATCTATGTCCTTATTTTTCTAAGATTCAAAAAAAAGGGGGGGGGGAGCAGAACAGGAGAAACATAAGGCTGCATGCACTTTACTGGCTATATTTAGATATGTTTCCATGTAGTGTTGGAAATATAGTAAATTACTGTCACCTCTGTGCCCTTCAAATAACATGTAATAACAAGTTGTACTGCATTTCAGGTGTGCTGTGGTAGTGCCAAGTACTAATGTATTTTAAGAGCTTTTCTTGCTTCTAGAGTGGACTGTGGTGTAAGAACTGGCTGCTGGAATAAGTAATCAATTGTACTACATGTCTCAATTTTTGTGGGAGTAACCATTGTCATAATCTCATTGAAATGTGCACTAAAGAAAGTGCCAAAAGCTGCCAGGTCAAGTTGTCGCAGTCTCCTTAGCAATCCTTATACAGGTGTTCTTTGCATGCATTTAATATCAGAGAACATAATTTGATAACTTTTACTCATACACCTTTGGGGGGAAAGGGAAGAGTAGGGGCTAGCATTGGAAATGCAGTGTCAGTGGCATAGAGTAGAAAAATAAAGTGGGTGTAGAAACCAAGAGGGTGATTCAGACACTTGAACCAGTAGAATTTGCAGGTACACGTGATTCCTCCCTTGTTCTTCTTTGGTCTTGGGAAGTTCTGGGCATTACTTTGTCATACTGTGACTTTGCAAGCCTGAATCTTCCAAATTGTAATAAAGGAGTGGTTTTGTATTAAATGTAACTTCTTGATAACTTTGTGCGTGGTTGATTGCATAATAAGAGATCTGAAGGGGGATAATTTGGAGATGACAATGCTGTATGACACATATTAGGTTACAGTAGTCAAAACGGTCTCTGGAGTAACCTGACGCATGCAAGATAGTATTGCTAAAAAGCTTAAAATTAGTCTCATTAAAGGCAGATTAAAATTGTAAGAGGACATTAATAAAATGATGAAATAAAAATGTAGTTTTTAGATAACCATTTTAAATAGATATCTATTCTATTATATGCTGCCTTTACAGTATATATTGATGTAAATTGTCTTAAGTATGTGATTCCTTGGATGTCTGCAGTTGTTCTGTGATGTTGCTTAAGGTTTGAGTAACCTTTAAGCGTTTAGTTTAAGGTAACCGTTCTGTTCTTTGGGGATCTGGACAGGGAAATAATGGTGCTTTTTTCCTTTACATTGATCTCCTTTTCCTTCTCCTTTCCCTGCTGTTTGGCTATCTTGTTTTCTTTTTCCCATGATGATTTGAGTCCTGCTGCCAGCTGTAATCCGCTGGTGGACTCAGCTCTTGAGATCAGTTTTCTTTAACAGTGCTCTAGTGGAAACACAAGAACAGGGAAGGAAAGCCTGCTCTTGTTGTCAAAACCTTGGTCTTACTACTGACCTAAAAACAAACATGAGCAATGAAAGTTTGAAACATTAACATGTTTCCTCTCCGCTCACCCTCCCTCCCCATAAAAACCTTTACTTACTGAATTGCCATCAATATTTCCACAGTCACTCAAGCATGCTGGCACAACTGCTAATAATCAAGAGAGCATGTCCCTCAGCTGTTATGGTAACATTCATATTCCTAATGTATATTAAGTAAAATTAGTTGTCTTAAGCACATCACAAGTAAGTTGCATAAAGCTGACTGATGGCATGCCAAATGAAACCTATAAATCAGTGTACAGCTGGATTATGCTGTGAATTTCTTACCTTTTGAAGTATTTTTCTTACTGAGAAAATCTACAGATGTTACTTAATCAGTAGCTAATGCAGAGACATTCAAAGACAAAAGATATCCTAACAAATAAGTCACCCAAAGTAGTTTCCTGACAAAAACTCACAGTGAGCCGGAAGTCTGACTTTCTTCCTATCTGTCCAATTACTCATCCAGTAACAAATGTCTGGCCATTGCTACTGCAACAAAGCTGCTGTATTCAAGTGGCCTGAAAGCCTTCTGTGTTGTTACTGGTTTGGATGCCTTTTTTCAAGTTTGCGCTGCAGTTTTCATTGAGACCTGAGCTTTTATTGGAAGTACATATGTTAGAGGTGTCCAAGAACCAAAAGCTGGTTGCTTTCTAAAACAATTTGCACATCCTAATATATGAAAATATGTGGCTTTTAGATCCTTTCCTTACAGTGCATGTAATCTTAATGCTGCCTATTTCTTTTATCTTCTTATCTCATCTTTTTTTTGTTTTGTTTTTCAAGTCCTAATGCATTGCAGCATAAGGAAGGAAGCAGATATCCTTTGGTTGCTTAGCATTAGAAAGATGATAAAATGAAAACACAACAAGACAGCAGAGTTAACTAAAATGGCTTTCTAAAAATGTACCAACTCATTAGCTGAAATGGAGCCGTTTCTTTTTTTTTCTGTTTGTCTTTGGAGAAATCAACAAAACTAAAAAAATTCTTCAGAAAATATTTGTAAATTTTCATTAAAATTCTTTGAATTTCCTTTAAAATCAACCCCCTTCTATTATATATGGAAAGCCCAATATACTGTACTGGGCTGGGAAACACTGGAAAAGGCCAGTGTATTGGAATTGGTAAAGGGCATAGTGTATTTTTACTTTAACCTGCCTTTAAATTTAATTATTGGCTCCCAGGTAAATGATACTTAGACTGTGTTCTGCTGGTTATAATCTTGCTGGACAAGGGGACAGACTAAATGATGTAAAACAAGATTGCTGCATTTGGCAATTTCTATAAACTGACTGTAAAATAAAATTTTAAGTATATAAATCCCTTAGAAAGTGGGATCTTCCTTCGAGTATATGTGGCTTTTTTCCCCAGTATTGGAGCCTAAAATAATTTTTAGCATAGATCTTTCACTGCAGCATTCTGTATGCAGACTCAGTAGTCAGGAAGAAGAACCAACAGCCTTGTGTCAGTAGCCGAATAACAACTGAAAAATGAAGCAATGGAGGGCTGAAAATTAAATGCATTTTAGTAAAATGAACATCTGTAGATTGCACCATCACTTTGGAAGATACAGCAGATTGACTATAAAAATGAAGTAGAAATACAAGTTGGTAAAATAAATACAGTAGGATAAGAGAAATAATCTTAAATCATCAAGTCAAAGCAGCGTGCTACTTCTGTTTTCTTAATTCCAACCAAAATCTTCATCTTAATTTCTGTAATTTGTTGTGATTTGAGTTGAAAACCATCACATCCTGTAATAATACAAAAACAGCTATCCCCACAAAAGCTAATTGTAAATGTAAAGACCAAGAGAGGGGATCTGGACAGTATGTGGACTTGAACTTTTACAGACCTCTATCGCTGTGGAAGAACTATTTAAGCTTTATGTGCAGATTACTGTAACTGTTCAATCTAAAAGCTCTCTTGAAAAGAAAAGAGAAAGCAATGAAATCTCCATTGAAGTCAAAAGGCTTTTCATTTCTGTTGATTTGCTTTGCTTTGCTTGAAAAGGTGTGGCACTGAGCCAGATCTATAAAGTGATGTAATCTCTGTCAAACAGCCAGATAGTGTTTTTGTTAGGAGAAAACATTTGCAGTGTTCATAAAATAAGCCTGCAAATTTAAAAATGCTATGTAAAGCCTTCTTTGTTAGTTCACTTACTAAGTAATTTTCCCACTGTAGTGGTTTTAGCTTCCACGTTAGGGTATGAATGCTTAAGGCTTGAGTAAAAACGTGGATGGTTTTGCTTTTTATATTTTGGCTGCATAAATAAAAACATCGTATTTTCATATGGAGGTAAAACAAAGGGAAAAAAGCTGACTTCTATACAGAGAAGCAAGCTGAAAGACCTTACAAGCACAGTAATATCCTGAACTTAACAGTGGTTTCTCCAGTATTAACATTTCCATTGTCATGTTCTCCCCCTTCATTTCTAGGACTACAGACTACACGTTTAGGAAACCATTTGGAAGATAGAGTAAACAAATTTTTGCGGCGACAGAATCATCCTGAAGCTGGAGAGGTCTTTGTCAGAGTAGTAGCAAGTTCAGATAAGACAGTAGAAGTTAAACCAGGAATGAAATCCAGGTTAGTTCTATTAATTACAATAAATGCAATCTTGATTTTTTTTTTTTTAATTTTGAAGTCTCCCTGCATTAATATTGCAAAACCATGCCAATTTGCATCTTAATCCCTTTGCACATTTTTGAAACCTAGGTGTGAGTAAGATTATGAAACTTAAAAAAAGCAGTATGCAGTAAATGAACTCAGAGGAGGTGACAGTTGTATTTTGACTGTTTGGCGGGGTGGGTAGCAGGAACACCCTGGTTTTGGTTATAATACTATGACTTTGTATTACTAAATCTTGAGAGAGTCTGACCACATTTTGGTTAGCATTACAGAATTCATAGTTTAGTTTGGAACAGTTGCTGAGATTCTGTTCCTTACTGTTCCTTCATTTTGTTGTGTTTTTATAAATACTTTAGCTTTCAGAAGGTATTTGTTTCATTACAAATTAAAAGTTTAAAAGGTTTATTCTATGAAGTGTTTTGGTTTTAATTCATAAAGACAGTGTTTACCTGACAGCGCTTCATCATATGCATTAGGTTTTCTACTCTCCAACATATTTAAAGGCTTGTGATTTCTAGGGATGCTCTTGTACTCAATGCTTGCCTGTTCAGTCATACATTAACTATATAGAAACTGCCTTCCTGTGAGTTTTGTAGTAACAGATCTTGCATTGACAGGACTCCCTGTTTTAATACAGCTCTGATCTGACCCTATTTAACTTCTGCATAAATGTTTCTAATGGGTTAAAAGTAAGGTTAAAAAGAATTTCGTCATTCTAGTAGGATACTGGTATAATAATTGGCTTTTTGTCTTCCACCCCCCCCCGTTCCTTCCTACCCCCCGTTCCTTCCTACCACCCTTTCCTTCAGATTTGTGGATTCTGGTGAGATGTCAGAATCTTTCCCTTACCGTACCAAAGCTCTGTTTGCATTTGAGGAGATAGATGGAGTAGATGTGTGCTTCTTTGGCATGCATGTACAGGAGTATGGCTCGGATTGCCCCCCTCCAAATACAAGGTACTCTTTCATTTCTATACTGGTGATGCATGCACAGAGAACATCTTGCTACATTCACTGGACAATTACTCTCAAATACAGAAGATTGGGAGATATGTTTCAATTCCGTGGCACAAATAAGTCCTACTGTATGACTGCAGATGACTTTGAAGGGGAAAACCAAATATCACAACAAAAGCATTACAATTTTTTTTATTCTATATTTAATTTTGCTTCTTGATGTATATTTCTGCTGCCTAAAAAAAAATGGTACCCATCTTTTGCTTTTGAGAACTGTTTATACCATGTTAAGATGCTTAAGTATGCATTGAAATGTCATCATTACTTTTTCTTTGTTCAGTATGGTTGTATATGTATCTAGTATAAAAGTCAGTTCTCGGTAGACAAAACAGACATTCAGCCATACATGATTTTCTGTCATTCTTCTTTCATTACTATAGGCGTGTGTACATATCATATCTAGATAGTATTCATTTCTTCCGCCCCCGTTGTCTCCGAACTGCAGTTTATCATGAAATCCTCATTGGATATTTGGAGTACGTGAAGAAACTTGGGTAAGTAAGATCTTTGTAAAGAAAGAAATCTTTTTTCTTAGCATTTTTTTATCCAGGATGCCAAGTAGCTTTTCACTTGGGATAGTCTCTCTTTCCTTTTGCCCTGTGAGATATGTGGAACACATGCCTCTTCTGCAGTGGAGAGAGAAATTTGGATTTTATCACTCAGGTGGTTTTTCTGTTGTAGGGTTCTCAAGCTGACAGCATATCATTCTTTTTATCAGAGATTCACTTGATGTTTAAGCTTCATTATTATATCCCAGACCTTTTTTTCATATCTTGTATAAATAGAGGTTATTGCCTCAGCATCTTTGTTACAAAGGAAAAAAAAGGGGGGGGGGGGGGGGGCGGGGGGGGGAGCCAGAGGTCTGAATTTGTATCTCAGATTGTCTGAGTTAATTTTAAGATGGTAGTCAAAATGGTTAAGATTTTTTTTTTCTTGTGTGTGAAACGCAGGTATGTGACAGGACACATCTGGGCCTGTCCCCCAAGTGAAGGAGATGACTATATTTTTCACTGCCATCCGCCTGATCAGAAAATACCCAAACCCAAACGTCTGCAAGAATGGTATAAGAAGATGCTGGACAAGGCTTTTGCTGAGAGAATCATTCATGACTACAAGGTTTGCTACTTTTTACTTCCTGAATTAATTTTATGGGCTTTTCATTTGAAGGTAGCTAATACTGTTTCACAATGCATGAAACTGTGGTAGAGTTGTACAAGGGTTTTTATTCTCAGCTAGTGTCTTAATTTACCTAAATTTTCTGGAGGTTCTGCCTTTCAGACTGAAAATTCCTTAGGTTTGGTTTCCGCATTAAGAGAAGTGTGCAAGAGCCTGCCATCGCATGCCTGTCTTTCACTGCAATCTTCTAGGCAAGGAAGTATGTAGCTTATTAAGGTTTATAGAAGTTGTTTGCTTCTGGTGATTCTGGAAGATCAGATGGAACACTGGACCCCACTAGTGTCAAATCAAAAAAAAAAACCAAACCTGCTTATAAAACAGCTTCTTCACTTGAAGAGAAAAAGGATATCGCACATGTACCCAAGGAAATAAGTTAAAGATGGCAAAGGTAGCATTTCCCACTCCTTACATGCTAAAATTTACAAGAATTTCTTAATGGTAGTGACAGTGCTGGAAAAAAATGGTGGTTTGCAAGTGACAGTTACTAAACGTCTGGAATAGAACAGTGTATAGCAAGCCTTGTCATCTGATCTGGCGTAGCAAAGAGCTAGAAAATCTGTGTCTCTCCTAATAAGGTGACCTTGAAATGAATCCAGAGAAGAAAATTGGCTAGTCTTGTATGTGCTTGTTAAACGCAATGCACTTAAAAACAACACCTTCAGAACAACTGTATAAAGTACCTGTTCCTTTTCAGAATACCTGTTCCTCTCAGTGGTCCCCAGTCTTTCTGGCCAGGTGGTCCACAGAGCTTCAGCCAGCAGTCAGCAAAGGACACAGGCTGTGCCCAGTCACCCTACCACAACCAGACTTTAATATTCCTGTGTATAATAGTTGGCCGGTGCCTTCAGTGTTTCTTCCTGGAGTTACCAGGCTTATTGTGCATATGATGCACAGCCCAGACACAGGCATTGAAGTGCTTACGTGCTTTCAAATTTGTAAGAAAAAGGGCTGGATGAGACGCACTTGCTGTCACTAGAACAGTTCTTGTCCAGGAGCAGCCTGGGAAAAGCTAAGTGGTGTAGGCTTCATTTTTAATTGGTGTAGTTACCAGGGATGGGTTTGGTATGTTTTTCAAGGGTATCTTATTCTCTCCCACCATGTCAGGAGCATGAACTGATTCTGTGATGGAGGTTCAGGAGAGCCTCAGCAGCTCTCTAAGATGAAACAGGGAGTGGGCTGTTATCAATATTGCCAGGCCAGTTCTTTGAGCTGCACCGAAAAAAGGAGACCTGCCAGGAGTGGGCTGTGGGCTGTAAGTGAGGCACAGCTGTTCAGTGTAGCACTGGATCAGGTCTCTGGTTCTCCTCTCTATCCTAAGTGGTCTTTATTTATTCTTGGTATTGTGTGATGTGCTTAACAGGACATCTTCAAACAAGCAACTGAGGACAGGCTGACAAGTGCCAAGGAGCTGCCTTACTTCGAAGGCGATTTCTGGCCAAATGTGTTGGAAGAAAGCATTAAGGAGTTGGAGCAGGAGGAGGAGGAAAGGAAAAAGGAAGAAAGCACTGCAGCTAGTGAAACAACAGAGGTGAGTTAACTTTATATGCTATATTTGCTTCTGGCTCACAAAGCTGACAGTTAATGCTTTAATAAATTAGAGAGTTCATGTCCAGTAAACTAGAAAAGAAGGTCATTCACATCAGATGTTAAATCAGGGTACCCTTTAACTGCATTTCTGGTTTTCTTGGATAACAAAAGTACTGATGGCTTGTTATTTTTTTAACAGAATCAGAAGTCAGTTATGTCAGTTCAGCATCTCTGTTCTCAGAGAAATGTGTTAAGCTACTTTTGGATTGCATCATGACTGCTACATTTGCTTGCAGTCATTTGGCTGAGCTTCTAGTTCACACCTTTGCAAATCACCTTTGGTATTTGTATTTTGAAAGGTGCTGCATTTTTCAAAGCTGAATTAAATTTTGCTGTTACTTAAGCAAAGGTACTTGTAGTCATTTGCTAGTAGGGGGCTGAAATTTAAAAGAATTTATTGCAAGTTTTCCATTGGTGTGAAACGATGGTCCTGGTGGTGGTGTTCCTTCACCAGCATTCTCTCCTTGTATATTAAAAAAAAAAAAAAAAACAACCCCAAACAAAAAACCACAACCCACTCACAACTTTCTCAGGGTCCTGGCCAGAATTTCATTATTCATTTTTATTTCTGTCTTGATTGTATCTGTATCTAAACGGTCTTAGCATTTTTATACTGTCCCTTCTACTTGTGATTTGCAGCAATGTGTTTTGAAAGTAAATAGAGTAGGAAAATCTGAAGTGTAGCAGATTGAGGTGGAACCAAAAACTTGTGACTGGGGAGGGACTGCATTCAACTTAATATAGTTTGTTGCTATGTTTTTTTATGGAACCATAGAGTTAATAGTTTCACCTTGTTCCTTCTGAATATGACTTTTAATATTGAAATATTTCAACAAACATAGCAGTGTAAAAGTAACTGAAAGACAAGGCTTGGAAGTTAAGTTGCAGTCCTTTTACTAACAGTATCAATTTCAATAAATCATAGCATGCCCTTCCAGTGAAAACACCAGTGTAAACGTCTACATCTAAGAGGGGGAAAAGGTGTTTTAAAAAGCCCAGAACAGCTAACTGTGAAACTCATGCAAGTTGTCTGCCTAAAGTGAGAAGATGCAGCCTTGGCTGTTAACATCCCTATGTTCCCACTTAATGCCATTGATGTCACTTGGGGTAGTGGAGGAACAAAATCTGCATCCCAGGTTGCTAAAGATGTCATCCAAGAATGCATCAAAAAAATGTAACAGTGTGGCCTTTGCCACTTGGCTCGGAAAAAGGAGTGAAATTAAAAGCATGAGAACTTCTCCAGTGCAGTCGCCTAAACTTGTGTCACTTTATGGAGGAAGCTATGCCTAGCAATGCCCACGTGTAGAAGCAATTGATGAATCTTTGCAATTTGCCTTGTTCTGAGATTGTACAGAACGTGTCTATCTTTTCTTAAATTCTTTGTCCTAAATTTTATATGTGTGGAGAGAGCTTCTTAAAAGTCAACATGTGCTGGGAGTGTCAGTTAGAGAGTCTAGAGGGGGGTGGTAAATACTTGGAAGTTCTTGAAAAAGATTCTTGAAGAGACAAGGCTCACTGAGTAACCATGCCATGGGCGTCTCTGGCAAACCTGGCTGAATATGTTAAATGCTATCAAAATGAAGTAGTATAAAAACAATCTTACAACTTCTTAAAACATTTTGGAATAGCTTTGTACAATTGACCAAATCTTAACTTGTTAGAGGTGGAGTAGAAAGCTTAGAATTGTACTGTCAGCTAAGTTTAAATCTATTCTTCCTTTTGGGTTTTAAATTTTAAAATCTATGATGCTCTAGAATGCATAGGCAAAGGAGAGCGTGCCCTAATTCCATCAGGGGGTTAGAAAATTTTGGGGAAAAGAAGTCAGGAGGGGAACATACAATAGCTCATTTCTGAATACCTTCAAATCACTTAGAACTCTGCCTGCTTTCCCATAAAATAGTATCATTTTAATTTCCAAACAGGTTTGGTCAAAAAGTCAATAAAATTACAGAAAAAACAAGATTGGACAGGGAATTTCTATCTTCAGTTGGAATGTTTTTGTTTTCTTTGAATAAATATATATGTGGATAAACCCTGTGTTTGCTTGTACATAGTGTTCATGAAACTTTTGTGTGTGTGTGTGTATATCAGAGTATTTCAGTAGTTTATTTTTAAAATTATGATAACCAGCATTCTAGCAGTTAGAGAGGAGTTTTTTACTGAGTGGTGAGCTCCCTGCTGAAGGCTTGGGTTTTTATTTTTCAAGGACATGAGAAGTTTAAAAGTTATTTCTGTTTTCACAGGTCATCTAAATAGCATCATCTGCTATTTTTTACTCTCTTTACTTACATCTAGTATTCAGTATATGGTCACTGTGGTCTATGTTGTTGTAACTTATACACAAGTGAAGGTTTTGGGGATTTTTTTGCAGTAGGTCTTCAGGATAGAGAAGAATGTATTTCGTTAGTTTCAAATCCTGCCTGTTTTGTGTACTAGCCCTAAATTTGTTCAAGAAAAACAAACAAACAAAAAAATTACCTCAAAGATCAAGCAAGTATGTGAAACCCCAAAAGCACAACAAAGCAGAATACCTGCACTTCTGGAATTTTTTAAAGTCCATTTTATTTGTAACTCATTTTATCACCAAATATCTATAAGAACCTTATAAAGCAAGCAGTGGAAGCTGAAGTGTGTTTGAGAAGGAAAAGAGTAAGTGTAAGATACGAATTATTTAATGTATATGCATACTTTAAAAAAATCTATTTTTAAATAGCGTTTGAATTCATTTGCCTGCCAGTTTGGCTTTTGATTTTTCCTGGAACATAGGATATATTTAACACAGTATGGCTGATTTGCAGGCATTGGAACAAAGTTCTATTATTGACAGCAGAAGTGTTTCACTTTCAGCTACAGTGAATGGGAGAGAGCTCTATAAAGTATAACATCTTTCCTATGCATTTATTGCAGGGAAGCCAGGGCGACAGCAAAAACGCCAAGAAAAAGAACAACAAAAAAACCAACAAGAATAAGAGTAGCATCAGCAGAGCTAACAAGAAGAAACCCAGCATGCCAAATGTGTCCAATGATCTGTCTCAGAAGCTGTATGCCACTATGGAGAAGCATAAAGAGGTACTGTCAAAATACACTGCATAAAGAGAAGATTTTATTCCTGTAAATCCAGGCATGATGACAGTCAGAACTGAAAAACCAGGAGGAGTAAAGCTTGTGATTACGCTAGAACTTTTTCTGTTGTGTAACAACATAGTGGAAGAGATTAGCCTAAACTAAGTTAATTAGATAACATTTGTAGCACACCATTACTGCAACAGAACATGAGCTTTTTTCCTGCAAGATTATCTAACCTCCTTGATTTCTTCCCCCCCCCCCTTTATCTGCAGGTCTTTTTTGTGATTCATTTACATGCTGGGCCTGTAATTAATACTCTGCCTCCCATTGTGGACCCTGATCCATTACTTAGCTGTGATTTGATGGATGGGCGAGATGCCTTCCTCACTTTAGCCAGAGATAAGCACTGGGAGTTCTCCTCACTACGCCGATCCAAGTGGTCCACGCTCTGCATGCTGGTAGAACTACATACTCAAGGGCAGGATCGCTTTGTCTATACGTGCAATGAGTGCAAACATCATGTGGAAACAAGGTGGCATTGCACTGTCTGTGAGGTAGGTGTATATCACCAGAGACTTCTGATCTCTTTTGCCCTACAGCCAAGCTTGATTATTTTTCCTTTTCTTTTTTAATATTGCCCAAAGTTCCTCCAAATTAAGCCTATCCTGATAAAAGGGCTGCTAAACCTTAAGGGAAGATGACTACCACAGTGGGGTACCTCTTCTTATAGAATAAGTGCCTTTAGTTTCTTGGCATAGAAAACACCAGTACTCTGGAATGGCTACTGCTGCATCATTTATTCTACTATGGCTCGTCTGCATAGACAAGTTTTTAACTTAATTTTAAAGAACTTTAGGACTGGGTGGTAGGGTTTGACTGTGTCAGACTAGTCCAAATCTGCAGGGCACTAATTGCTTCCTAACCTGGCTCAGTGTTTTTAATGACTAGTCCTTGTACACCATTGATCAATTTTACTGAACTATGTTAGAGAGCAATTTATGCATGGAGTTATACTGGTGGACTTGAGGAGAAGGTAGCCTCTACAGGGCTTGTGATGACCTCTGACTGTAGCTGAACAAAAAAAATCTTTGAATAAGTGCAGCCTACTTTTTACACTGCAAGTTGTTGCCAGGTTTGTGGTGGAAGAGTCTTAATCCCTCTGAGGAAAGCATTGAACAGGGCTTCTTGAGGCAAGACTGCAGGAAATGGATCGTATACACTAGGGGAATTAAGTGGTGGAAGGAGGTATGGCCTTTAGGTTTCTTCTGAGTACCTCTGTATAAGGGAGTGCCCTTCCTTCAGCAAAGAAAGGACAGAGCAGTGAAAATGTGGGTCTTTGAGCAGGTTTTCAGATCAGTGTCTGTCTTAGCATGAAACTTGCATTTGATTTGAGGGTCATTTTAGAGATTAAAAAAATACGTATTTCAGGGTAGTAATTATTAGTCAGTAATTACACTAAGAATAGCTAAATGGAGACAGTAGGCAGTGACAGTAGGTTTGTCTTACTAGTTGGAAGTTTTGGCCCTCCTTATGTAGGTACTCCAGTCGACATCACAGAAAAGTAAACAGTTCCTGTCATCAAAAGGGAGAAACAAAAAAACCCAAATCCTGCAAGACTTTTTCCTGTATTAAAATGAAGACGCAATTACAGGCCCTTTTGGCATTGTTACCCACCGTAGCCAAGACTCATGATTGCAGGCTCGCTTTGCTGAGGCAGCTGACGTGGCTTCTCCCCTCAGCTGCCCAGCACTCCCTGTCCCAAAGGTCCACTCCCACTGTCACAGTGACTCCATAGGCTATGCAGCTGCTCCTCTACCTCAGTGTACCAGGTGTAAATTGAAACGGGCAGTTGTTCACGGTGCATGGCTCTTGTCCTGCTTCTGTTCTGCTGTGTGTACCCACTGGAACCCAAAGTGTGCTTCCACACCATGCTCACCTAGCACCACTCTCACTGTTCTGCTGTTTTGCTGGCATAGTTAGTGCTCTAGACAACTGAACTCTGGGTTTTCTTTGCTTTCAGGACTACGACCTCTGCATTAACTGCTACAACACTAAGAGCCATGACCATAAGATGGTTAAGTGGGGCCTGGGTCTGGATGATGAGAGCAACAGCCAAGGAGAGCAACAGTCAAAGAGCCCCCAGGAATCGCGACGACTGAGCATCCAGCGCTGCATTCAGTCCCTTGTCCATGCCTGTCAGTGCCGCAATGCAAATTGCTCATTGCCATCCTGCCAGAAGATGAAACGGGTTGTCCAGCACACCAAGGGCTGCAAGCGCAAGACCAACGGTGGCTGTCCGGTGTGCAAACAGCTCATAGCTCTTTGCTGCTACCATGCCAAACACTGCCAAGAGAACAAATGTCCTGTGCCATTCTGTCTCAATATCAAACACAAACTTCGACAACAGCAGATCCAGCATCGCCTGCAGCAGGCTCAGCTCATGCGCAGAAGGATGGCTACCATGAACACCCGAAACGTGCCTCAGCAAAGTTTGCCTTCTCCTACCTCAGCAACGCCTGGTACCCCTACACAGCAGCCAAGTACACCGCAAACACCACAGCCTCCTCCCCAGCCCCAGCCTTCCCCTGTAAGTATGTCACCGGCTGGCTTTCCCAGTGTGTCAAGAACTCAGCCCCCTACTACTGTTTCAACAGGAAAACCTGCAAACCCAGTTTCTGCACCTCCACCTCCGGCTCAGCCTCCACCAGCCGCGGTGGAAGCGGCTCGGCAGATTGAGAGAGAAGCTGCCCAGCAGCAGCAGCAGCTCTACAGGGTCAACAACATGAACAATGGTTTGCCTCCTGGTCGCCCAGGACTAGTAAACCCAACGGTGGGTTCAGTGAACCAGATGCAGCAAGTCAGCATGAATGTACCCCGGCCCAGCCCTGTAAGTGGTCCAGTGATGTCCAGCATGCAGCCTGGACAATGGCAGTCGCCTCCAATGCCGCAGCAGCAACCAATGCAGCCAGGAATGGCAAGACCAGTTATGCCAATGGCGACGCCACAAGCAGTGGCTGGGCCAAGGATGCCGGGTGTGCAGCAGCCGCCACGGAGCATCCCCCCAAATGCACTTCAGGACTTACTGAGGACCTTGAAATCACCAAGTTCTCCGCAGCAGCAACAGCAAGTTCTTAATATCCTTAAGTCCAACCCTCAGCTTATGGCAGCTTTTATAAAGCAAAGAACAGCCAAATACGTGGCTAACCAGCCTGGGATGCAGCCACAATCAGGCATACAGCCCCAGCCTGGGATGCAGCAGCCACAGACCGGCATGCAACAGCCAGGCATGCATGCTCAAGCAGGATTGCAGAACATGAATGCAATGCAAGCAGGAGTGCAGAGACCAAGCGTTCCTCCCCAGCAGCAAGGGATAGGAGCTATGAATCCCCAGGGACAAGCGATAAACATTATGAACCCCGGCCACAACCCTAGCATGGCAAACATGAGTCCACAGTACAGAGAAATACTGAGGCGGCAATTACTGCAGCAGCAGCAGCAACAGCAGCAGCAGCAAGGAGGGGCTGGCATGGCAGGAGGGATGGCAGGACATAACCAGTTCCAGCAGCCTCAAGGACCAGGAGGTTACCCTCAAGCCATGCAGCAGCAGCGGATGCAGCAGCATATATCGATACAGGGGGGGTCCATGGGACAGATGGCTCAGATGGGACAGCTGAACCAGATGGGCCAGCCCGGCATGGGGGCAGACGGCACTCCCAACATCCAGCAAGCACTGCAGCAGCGGATCCTGCAACAGCAGCAGATGAAACAGCAGATAGGGTCCCCTGGCCAGCCTAACCCCATGAGCCCACAGCAGCACATGCTCTCAGGACAACCGCAGGCATCTCATCTCCCTGGCCAGCAGATCACCACCTCCCTCAGCAACCAGGTGCGGTCCCCAGCACCCGTTCAGTCTCCCCGTCCCCAGTCCCAGCCACCACATTCCAGCCCGTCACCCAGGATACAGCCCCAACCGTCACCTCACCACGTCTCTCCCCAGACTGGTTCCCCCCACCCGGGACTTGCAGTTACTATGGCTAGCTCCATGGATCAGGGACACTTGGGCAACCCAGAACAGAGTGCAATGCTTCCACAACTAAACACCCCGAACAGGAGTGCGTTGTCTAATGAATTGTCTCTGGTTGGTGACACCACTGGGGACACATTAGAAAAATTTGTGGAAGGTTTGTAGCATTATGGGAGCATCACTTTTTTTTCCTTTCGTGTTCTTGGACATTTTGTACTGAAAATTCAGACATCTGGGTTGTTTTGAATCCTAGATGGAACTGCTGCTTCCTACACATGGAAGAATGAATTGCTGTTTAAAAAAAAAAAAAAACCCAACAAAAAAAACAATACAAAGAATATATTTTTTTGTTAAAGCCAGGCGGTTAAAATATCTGGTCTCTTTTGTGGGTTTTTTTGGTTTTTATTTTTTTGTTGCTGTTGACTCATAACTTTTTTTTAATGGGGAAAACAAGGTCATTATATTCATATTTTTTATTTGTAATTTCAAGACTTTAAACATTTGCGTTTAAAAGAAGAAAAAATAATATTCAGAAACTGTTTCCTGAAATAATGCAACATTATAACGTATCCCGGTAACTTTGACACGTTGCAGGAAGATTTTTTTTTTTTTTTCTATAGTGAACTCTGCAGGCGTTTGAAGTATTACCCCTGGAAAGATAGGAATTGACTCTTGCACACAAAAACACACATTGGCCAATGCCAAAATACTTGTCTTGCAGATGTAGAAATTGTTGCTTTGTTTCTCTGATAAAACTGGTTTTAGATGAAAATAGGGATGATCACTCTTAGACCGTGCTGATTTGAATAGAGAAGAAGCATTCTTTTCTTTCTTTCTTCTGTGTGAAACTTGAAATGAGGAAAAGCAATTCTAGTGTAAATCATGCAAGCGCTATAATTACTATAAATAAGAAAATCCAAGAAGATTCAATCACTGTATAGAATGGTAAAAAAAAACCAAACTCATTTCTTACTTATAATATCATATTGTTAAATAAACTGTGTGCAACAGACAAAAAGGGTGGTCCTTCTTAAATTCATGTACATGGTATTAACACTTAGTGTTTGGGTTTTTTGTTATGAAAATGCTGTTTTCAACATTGTATTTGGACTATGCATGTCTTTTTTCCATTGTATATAAGTATTGCTTAAAATTGATATAAATTACTGAAGTTTTTAACATGTATTCTGTTCTTTAAAATCCATGTAAGAATGTTTAAGGTTTTTATTTATTTATATATTTTTTGATCATGTTCTTTGTAAGACATGGCTATGAATATTCACTCATTACACAGAGCAGCCAGAGGCATCGATAGGAGTGGCACGATACATGGAGTATTGTAGGTAGCATGTCTGTTTTACAACACCCTTTAGTGATTGTTTCCTTTTCGGGGAGGGAGAGGAGAGGGGAATGGTTCCCATACATTAAATATTTGCAGGTGTTCATCCATAAGGGTTAACTGGAATAAATTATTAATAGCCGTTGCTTTTTAAAAACTGCATTAATTTAGAGAAGGATCACCAATGAAAGGAAAATAGAGAGTATTGAGTTAATTCTAGGCTAATTTATTTAGTCTACAGTAAAATATGAACCTATTGACTTTAACACTATTTTTCTGCTGTTAACTCTGAGTCTAGATTTGAGGGTTTTCTGTGGAATAAAAAATAACAAATCATGTACATGTTCCCTTTAATATCCTGTCACCATGCCCTTATGTTCCTGGGATACTTGCCCCTCCTCCCTCCAATGAATTACTTTCTTGGAGTTAAAAAGTCCAGGGAAACTTTCCCAGTGTAGGTGTGAGCTAAAACTACGACTAGCCTAAAATGCCATCACTCAGACCTTGAGGCTTCTCGATTATGTGCGACTGGCGTGGGATTTGCAGCAAACCCAGCAAGGGATCCCACCCGGCAGCTGCTGCCGCTCCAGCAGGGAGCACCAGGCACACTTGGCTTTTCACATTAAGTTAGCGCTTCCTCCAGCCTTAATGTTTTTGTTGGAATGGTGTTGGGGGAGGATGGGGGGGAGAAGAGCAAACGATTTATCTCAACTTTTATCCCTGTAGTGTGAAAACGTAGTGCACCGCGGCGCTACTTCATTCTTTTTAACTGTAGAGGATCTCTGCTTAAAACTTTTCTTGCAGACTTCTAACTGTTGTATCTTTTTCACCACTATTGGATTCATCTGCCCACACAATTGTCTTCAGCAATTCAAGATGTCAAAATTTGGGGCTGGGGTGAGGTCAGTGAACACTAACCCAAAGCTTGTCCAAAAGAAATTGCTGGTTTAAAAAAAAAAAAAAAAAAGATGGAAAGCCCTGATGCTGTGTCTCATGCTGTGTACTTAAAAAGAGGAAAAATACTATATTTGTGATCAAAAAGAGGAAACTTGAAATGTGCTGGTGTTTCTAATAAAAGCTGGTAAAACTGCTTGGATTGAAGGATGGTTCCACTTGGCTGGTGCCCGCCAGGATGAGCGAAGCCTGACACCTACGGTTAAGATAACTGCACTCAATCTCGCTAATACCTTTAAGTAGCATCCATTTTAAAAAAGTCAGCTTCTGGATGCTTCTGGATTTGGATAAGCCGAGTCCTGTTTGGAGCACAGAGAGTTGGTATGGCTCTTGGGCTGCAGCACACTTGAGTTCCCACTCCTGAGGAAGAGTGGAAAAAAACAACCTGGTGGGAAGCAAATACCATAATATTTTTAAGTACAACCTGAAGTGTTGAGAACGCAGAGCAACGGAGAGATTTAGATATGATAATCCCATCTTGCTGGAGCAATTGTTGTAGATAAGAGCAGGGAGAGAATGGAAGTGCAAAGCTGATGTCAAACACGAGGAGGGGCTGGGCTTGGTGCACAGCCCCTACAGCCATGAGGGCTTCATTCCAGTCTCCTTTGTTGGTAAGAAATTCAGCATATCTGAAGACTAGACAGGCATCTTGATTTTTCAGATTCTTGCCTGTGTTTTGATGGGGAGGTACCGGCAATAAGGAGCAGCATCCTAGAAACATGAGAATTTATAAGGCAAGAACTCACTGGAGATTGGTGTAGGATCTTTATCATCGGAGGGGGTGGCTAAGACCTTCCCCCTTACTGAATTCTGGAGGGGAAGAAGGTGCTTAAATCTGAACAACGATCTGTAACGACTTGGCTCTCTGCTCTTCTTTTCTTTGGCTGGCTGACATGCTCTGCTGTCTGCTGCTGGCTATCCTGACTTTTAACCAACACTGCTACCGCAGCAGGCTGTGATCACGTTTCTTCTTGCTGCAGACACACCAGTTGAGGTTCACCTCTGCTCGTCACTGTTCCATTAGGCCAGAGATCTGCCCACAGCATGTGTGTAAGCACTCCCTGCTCTGGTCTTCCACCTGGATGCTTCAGAGCAAAGGGGTGAGGGTCTGACTGCAGCAGTGGGCTGAGGAAGAGGAGCCCTCCTGCCAGGGGTACAGTGCTTAACCAAAAGTAAGCCCTCTGGGGATAGCAACCCCATCAGTCATTCTGTAGGAAGCCAGAAGTGGTATGTGTCCGCAGTTGTAGCAGCATAAAGTTCCTTCGAGTCAGTGGCAGTGTACAGCAGTAAGTGAAGACAGTTGATGGCTTACAAGGTGATCTCAGCGTGCACCAGGTGCTGCTTCCAAAGCAAATTACAGCCCATGGTTTTCTCTGCAGTGAAGATGTAGCAGCTGCTGTATGGAGCTGGTAACTGGTGGAACATGGCAGAGCATGCAGGTTGCTGTGCAGGGGCAATCTGTCCTTCCCTGTGCTTCCTCTCCACAGCCGGGAACTTAAAATGGGGAATGTGGTGGTCTCTGCCACCCCCAGCACGCTGCGAGGGCACAGTAGGTGCCAACTGCCAGATAATCGAAATGAGCCTGAACAGAGGGGAGAGTCTGTACCAGATCCCCTGCAGTCCCCACGCCTTCCCTGCAGGAATGTGCTGCATGGTTAAACAGTCAAAGCAAATCCAAGGCAGGAGGGTGTCGCAGCGTTAAGGTGAGGTAGGAGGAGGACTCGGGTGTTCATAGTGGGTACAAGCGCTCTGGTGCAAAGGCTCGTGCTGGGTTTGTTGCACCTAATCCATAACATCCAGCACTGCACAAACCCCACTGTGTGCAAGTGTTTCTTAGATGCAAACCTCCAAAACAACATGCAGATTGGCATAGTCCCAAGGCTAAGTTGCAAGCACAAGTGAATTGCACACGTAGCTTTTCCAGCAAGCTCCCCTGAGCCTGGGAATTACAAAGCTGTCTCTTGTTAGGTGGTCACAGTTCCCTCCTGAAGGCCCTCATCTCCTCTGTCTGGAAGTGGTTAGTGCTTGCTGAAATGAGACCTGCTCAGCCTTTTATTTTTAGCTGTGGTGTTCATTGCAGCCAGGCTCTGCTCTCACGCACGTTCCAAATTTGGCTCTCAGCAGAGCGGTTTATTTCTTCTCTCGCCCCCCACCCCATCCAAAACCTTTCTCCAGTACCTCGGTCCTTTACGTCTCGATGATCTACACTCACGGCAGCCCCAGGAGATGAGGAATTTCAGAGAAGTGGGAAAATGAGATACTAATCAATTTGTGCAAAGTCAAGCAGGGGAGCCTGGCCAAGGTGTGGCACACGGGGGCTTCCTACGGGCTGCTCCTAGCCTGGCACAGCCTTTCCTTGGCCCTCAGCCCCCCTCCGTGGGCCAGCTGG